ATTCAAACCAGGCCTCTGGTGTATACGCCAAATATTCACGCTACGCCAGGTTCTGCAACATAAGCACGCTTACCGATGCCTGACACTACCTGTATTTCCCAACCTAAACGCGGCATTCGACTCCGTTCATCGAGAAGCCTTATGGCAATGTCTCATTGAAAGACTTGCCAAGTAAGTACATCATCTTATTGAACGCTCTCTACTCGAACACTTTTGTGTATGTAACAGCCTATGGTGACATGTCCAGGAAGCTGTACTCGTCCAGTGATGTCCATCAAGGGTACCCACTCTCTCCATTCTTATTCACTTTCATCACAGATATTCTTATGGAGGTCTCCCTCTCGTCACCTGACTACACAGAAGTTGACCTAATAGCAGGACAATTTTCGTTAGACCTACAATATCCAGATGACATAGTCATGTTAGGTGAAGACGCTGACAAGGTGCGGAGTATTCTGAACACCTTAAGTGGCAATTTGAGAATATTTGGGATACATTTATCACCACGCAAATGCAAATTGTTACTAAAGGATTGGTGTTCGATGGCGCCTTGGCTAACAGTATAGAGTGAGTATAGTGGTTGAGTGTGTCAACCACTTTCACTTGCCTGGAAAGTTGGATCAACCCTGACCCGTGACTCAGTGGCTGATGAAATCTCTGCACGGATACAAAAGGCTCGATTGGCTTTCGCCAATATACGCTACCTATGGCGCCGCCACTATACCTGACTGTCTATTAAGGGTCGCGTTTACTGCACAGCAGTCCGCTCTGTTCTACTGTATAGCAGTGAAACATGGTCATTGAAGGTGGAAGTCATGAGGTTTCAGGTGTTTGACCACCATTGCCTTCGTGGTGTATAGACCTTATTCCATGGTGTCACCACGTGAGTAACTCAGAAGTCAGGCGTAGACTGTTTGGGATGGAGAAGAGGTAAATCAGTTGATGAGGTAGTGAACCTTCATGGACTGAGATAGCCGACTGGGACATGTGTTACGTATGTACTAGTATGAGCGGTGGCAAGTCAAACCGTTAGGCAGTTATGTCTGGTTCTCTGTTGATTTGTATGGATGGATGGACTAGTTTTTATTATCATCCTTCAAGTTTAGGGAAACCAGAGCATCTTTTGATTGTCGAGGTACCTTCTTCTGGGACAGACATTATGTCTGTAAATGGTTCATGGATAATGTTAGCTAAAGCTAGTAACAGCCTAAGGTGTTATGCAGTGATTTACCAAGCTTCAGGTTATTGAGTAGTTGAAACATCACTTTCGGTGGGCATCAGCCTTTAATAGTACTTAATATCTATGTCAGTGTAATTCCATTAGTTTTCAGCTTTCTCCATTTCTGGTTCTTCAAGTAGACATGACACCTTAGTAGAAATTAACGGGAATATTCTGTCTTTCCTCCTGATCTGTCGTCTAATATGAGCGTATAGCATTTTAGGACAGTTGATAGAATCTTACCTTATCTGTCTTTCATGCTCAGTGTAACAAGAATATCATAGATTCGAAAATTCACAGTACTCTAGCTAAAACTTATTACTTCCTATCCCTTTGTGTAAGTCCCAGCCCCGTCTAAATAATCTTTAAATCTGTTTGCTTATCTAAATGATGTAGGTAAGTTGCCAACTATGGTGTTAACCAAGGTATTAATAGAAATGTGAGAATCTTGAATGTGATCTTACAAGCCTTTTCATTAGTACAATCTATACTTGCGGACTGGTCCAGAGGTTGCAGTGCCTTTCACTGCTGACGTGTTTGTTCATTCAGTATAAGGTCTGCGGAGAGGTCTTGATTTTTTAAATCAATAATAAGGTGGCTGTTTTCTAAGGGGAGGGGGGTTTACTCAAAATCAGTCACATCCTCGTGCTGCTTTGTGTAGAATAAATCCAGTAACAATATTTGAAACAGTTAGTCCCTTTTATGAATTTCGATAGCGTGATTAGAAGACGAAGTTTATCTGAACAATCCTCATCATCATCATCAATATCAACATAGGACCAGACATTACTGCGTAACGGTCCGACTTGCGACAGCTCAGTACAGTACATCAAGTAGAAAGGTGGTGAGGTGAAAGATGAAGATAAGAAAATTCACTCAAAAGAAATATAAAATACGAGAAGAAAGAAAGGAAGAATGAGAAAATGGTGAGAATCGGTATAGTGTTAATATGAGGATAATGTGTGTGTGGGGATAGTTCTGCACCACTGACATCGGTTCTCAGCCATATCACCTAGAGTCAGTCTCCAACCACTGGTCCCTCTTGTCCCACCGACCTAAAACGGCTAGTCTGTATCGCCCTACATGGCTCAAGCCAACAGTCAGAGACTTCATTCATTGGTGCCATGTTTTAGTCTGACCACCTCGGGCCTCTTTCCAGCCTGAGCCTACTTCAGCCAGCATTGTGTAACGAGGCAATCGGTGACTAGGCATGCGTAACACGTGTCCCAGCCAACCATCTGAGTCGATGAAGGTTCATAACCTCGTCGACTGATCTACCTCTACTCCTGACTTCTGCATTACTCACGTGGTGAGTAAGAGCACCATACCACCATCCTTGTATACCTCTGGAGTTAGTCATCTACTGCTGCTATGTATATAGTGTGAATTGATATACGTTGTTTCATGTTTCTCTTTATGTCGTGTGAACGTTTACCATCTGTTCATATAGGCTTTGGTTATCTGTCTGATTGGTGTATAAATGTCTAAACTACTTGTCATTAATTATCACTTGTTATTTGTATGATTCAGAATCGATCATAATCGTGCATGTGTATCCAGACAACTAGAGAGGCGAAATCTCGCATATAACTGTATCACTTCAAGTTTTCATCCTTCACAAAGTTCTATGTGACAATAAACAATCTGAAAATAATGTTAAGTGCAAGTATATAACCTTTAGATGTCAAGAAGTGAATACATTTGCACTATCCTGATTGAATTTCATGTATGTCATCACGAGTTTTCAACCACTGATTCCTATCGTCTTGTTGGACTCTAACTTGGCAGTCTACAACTTCTTACAGTTACAGACTTCATTGACTAGCGCGTCACGTCTTAGTTTGACCATCGTAAGCTGTTTTCCAATCTAATTCAGCTTCCTCCTGCACAGCAGGTATGGTAGCCAGTGACTTGGGATGTACAGTATTATGTCCAGGCCATCTTAGTCGACTAAGATTCACAACCTCAGTCACTGACTTGCCTGTCCTTGCTAAGTACCCTTCTCCTAACCTTAACATTTATCACATATTGGTTCTGCCAAACGCGAGAAATGCTACGAAGACACGTATGATCAAAATCTTATGATCCTTTCATATGTTCTACCCTCACAGATTACTTGTAACAGGATCCAGTAAAATATTCATTCTTTGCCGTATAAAATACTCAACTGAAGTTTATATCATTATTATTATTTGTTCCTTGAGTTCCAAGTGGAACGTAGCGGTTCAGTAGCACGTCTCCATTTCACTCTGCTCTCTGCAGTCTTTTCAACCTGGCTTCATGACTGCCCACAAGCTTTCATTTCTGAATCACACAATCTCCTCCATGTCACCCTCGGACGCCCAACTCATCCTTTCCCATTTGGGTTCCACTCGAGCACCTGGTCTGGCGCGTGATGTCCCCAAATCGTCTTCTCACTTCATGCCCAATACATCTCCATTCTCTTCTTCTGCATATTTGTTGGGCGATAGGTTCTTAGTTGGTTCGTTGCCAGCCAACCAACCACAGTTCCTCCTTGCTAATTCCTTCTCGCCTTCTCATCTGATCTTCACTGTCGTGTAAGAGTGGGCAGCAGCTGTTGATGAATGTCTGTAGTTTGTTGGAAATGCTTTGCATAACGCGCCAAGTCTCTCAACCGTCACATAGAGACAAGTACTGACTTGACTGACTTAGTGTTGAAAGACCAGATCTTGTTCACGCTTTATGCTGAGTGCAGTGCAGTGCAGTGCAGCAGACCACACTTATTTCACGTTAATGAAGGCCTGTCTTCCTGTCTTATCGAATCTCGCTTTGACATCTTCATCTGCGCCGTCGTCGCAGCCGCCCGTAGTTGAAACGATGCTGCCTACGTGGGTGAAAGAGACACCATTCTTCAGATTTCTCCCGTTGATGATGATTGGTGCTTCTTGTTGTTGTTGCGATTGACTGGGTATCTTCATCATCTCTGTCTTCTCTACATTCACCTGAAGTCCCGTTTTCGCTGCCTTGCCTCTTCTGTCAACTTATTGGTTTTTAACTGTAGATCTTCGAGTATATGAGACATTAGACATAAATCATCGTGGGCGAAATCCAAATCTTCTATGGTCTTTTCATCGATCCAGTTAGCGTATGACCATCTTCTCACAGATCCTCACAGTTGTCTGTTGCGTGATCCAGTCGACTACAATCAGGCAGATGAAGTTTATCTTATTTATGTCTGATTCTTGCAGCATGCATTCACCATTGAGCAGACCGTTTTATCTAACTTCATCAGGATAACTGCAGCAAATATCTAACCATAAAGATGAATATGTTAGTTTATATTTTTTTATCTGAATTCCTTATACTTGTATCTCCATCAAAAAAAGGATATAAGCTAAAAAGCTGGATGGAGTGAATTGACCGATCTCTGTTGACAAAAGGGTGGATGGCTCGATATTGCCTGATTACTCACTATGCAGTAATTTGTTTAATCGTGATGGCTAGCAGCAGTGGAGTCTAGGATACACATTCCCTCTTATTTAAGACTCACTCATTAGTTGAATGAACTTACACTACAGTTCATGATGATATTCTGACAGATATTCGAACCTTGTACGTATCGCTTCGAATACCTAAGGGTTATCTGTGTAAAATACATGAAACATGATCAGATTAATCAAGAAGTATACTTTTATTGAGTAAAATAATTAGCATTTAGTTCAAATAGTGATTATTTCAGTCGTTATATTATTTTAATTATTCCAATGGGAAATTGTTATTATTATTATTATTTCTCCATAGATATCACTTATATTCATGGATGATGAACTCTTATCGGCATCTATTCCATTTTGCATTGAAAGTATCATTATATCAAACACCTGGTAGAATAATCCAAAGGTTTTTATATATCAATACAATATCAATTAGAAATCGTCTATTTCCAATTATGTATACAGTTAACATTTCAAAGCATACTCCACGGGGACGTCATCATCGTTTGGGAAAACATAATGCTGTTGATGATGATGATGATGATGAATTATCTGATTTTGAAGACAATCACGAGGATGATGATGATGATGATGATGAATCAGAAGACCCATATTATGCAGAAGATATGGCATTCAATCCAAATTTTCGACAATTATCATCATATGTTAAATCATTACGTTATGATAAAATTCTTCGTTTAGGCTTAGGGATTACACGAAATGCTTGTGATAATGCTTTTTTTACTGGTCGATTAAGATTGAATGGAGAAAAAGTATCGAAACTAGGTACCAAAATTTATGTAGGTGATAAACTAGACTTGGTTATCAATGATGATGATGATGATGAAGTGAAAAAAGAAAACAAATCAATGGGGAAACGTGTACGAGTATATAATGTTAAACAATTAAAATCGGATAATTATCAAGTATTTTTACGTTGTTGGAGAAATCGTGTTGAATGTTGAAACGTTTTACTTCTTAACCTCTTCTTTTTCTTCTTAGTGTATATATGATGCATGCATATCTTGTCTGTAAGTGAATATAAGTAGGTGAATCAAATGATGAGCCCTGTCTTCTCATTCATAAATTGGATTAACTGTAGAAATTGATCGTCTCTTAGTGTTTGAAAATTCATCGAAATGTTGAAAGGCGTTTGAGTGAATTATTATTATTATTATTATTTGTCCATTGGGTTCCTAATGGAACATAGGGCTTCAGTAGCACGTCTCCAGCGCACTCTTTTCTCTGAAATCTTTTGAATCTGGCTCCACGACAGCCCACAAGCTCCTATTTCTTCCTCACACGATCTGTTGCATGTCACCCTCACCTCGGACGCCCAACTCGTCACTTCCCATCTGGTTCCACTCGAGTGCCTGGCCTGGTGCGTGATGTCCCCAGTCGGCCTTCTCAGTGTATGTCCAATCCATCTCCATTTCCTTTTTCTGCATTTTTGTTGAGCGATAGGTTCTCGGTTCGTTCGTTCCCAGAGTTCCTACTTGCTTATTCTTTCTCGCCTTCTCATCTGATCATCAGTAACGAGCCAGCGTAGGCGGCGGTTGTTGATGAATGTGTGTAGTTTGTTGGAAATCTCTTTCGTAACGCGCCAAGTCTCTGAGCCATACAGAAGCACTGAGTCGACGTTGGTGTTGAAAATCTGGATCTTGTTCCACATGCTGAGTGCAAGGTAGAAGATCTCCACACTGGTTTCAGGCTAATGAACGCCTATCTTGCTTTTCCGATCCTGACTGGCTTTGACGTCCTCGTGTGTGCCGCCGCTTATAGTTGAAACGATGCTGCCTGGGCAGGTAGGTGAAAGAGGCTACTTTAAGTTTCTCCCGTTGATGGAGATTGGTGTTTTTTGTATTGTTAGTTGGGTATCTTCATCACCTCTGTCTTCTCTATGTTCACTTGAAGTCCCGATTTCCTTTGCTGCCCTGCCTTTCCTGTCAACTCGTTAGTTTTCGCCTGTAGATCTTCAAGTTTGTGTGATACTAGACACAAGTCATTGGCAAAATCCAAATCTTCTAAGTTCTTTTCCGCAGTGCAGTGTATCCTCCTTTTCTCTCTCCTCACAGTGGTTTGTTGCATGATCCGGTCCACTACAATCAGGAATATCATGGGTGATAGTAGACAGCCTTGTTTTACTCCTGTCTTCAGTTGAAGAGCATCATTGACCTTCCCATTGTGAATTATTTAGCATGTGGCGTCTTCATATTGTTGTTGAATGAGATTGATAAAGGTTTGTGGTATTCCGTAGTGTTGAAGCAGTCGGTTGACGCTGTCGAAGGCCTTTTCAAAGTCGATGGAGTGAACTATTACTGAAGTTTTTAAAAAAGAAGTATATTACCATGACTGAATGACTTGGTGACACTGACAAAATCAGCGTAGAATTTGGCACAGAAATGCATCATGCTTCAAATTGCTACACTTCACAGTAGTACAACAAAAACAGGTGGATAGGAAAAAGGAAAGTTGTGTGAGAGATAACGGTTAGTGTAAATATAGACTTGCATCGTGTGTCTGTGCAGCTACCAGGAACCCTATTGTAACCTAATCTTACTTCCCATAACATGCTACGTTGAGGTATCTAGTGGCTTAGCATACGCTATACATGTGTAAACCATCGCAGTTGACTAGGGTTTACAACCTCATAAATCGACTTGTTCACTTGTCTTGTCTAGTAGTACATTTGTCATACATTGATTCCACCAAACGTCAAATACTACTATATCACACACTCTATATGCTAATGTGGGATTACACTAGACCAATAATTATCGAATGCTACTCTTATTGTGATAACCTTGATGAGTTTGTTTTCTAATGAGAGAAATGGCACTCACCTTATTCAAACTAACCGATAGTGTTCATTGGTATGTGGGGTTTCGAAACTACTGCTGCTAAGTAACTCAGTAGCATGGACATACCGCCACCCGTCGCCGCATACGAGAATACTCATGATGATAGCCCTACCTCAATGTACCATGCCACAGGAAGGTAGATTAGGTTGCAATAGGGTTCAGGGTGGGTAAAGCAAAACCTGGTATCAGTTCAGGATGTGTGGCAACTTGAGCCGACGCACTTTAGGGGGAAGGAATCGAAACTTCGGCCTCTCGTTTACCGACCCAGTGGTCAACCATGATTATAACATTCAACATCACCTTCCCCTATCTCTCTCTCCCTTTCTTTTCCTATTCTCTTTCTGAATCTATTTCTCTCCGATACTTTGATAGCTTAGTCATGTTTTCCTATCCAATTCATTTATTCTTTCATGAAAATTTTCGTTAGACCTAGAATACCCAGATGACATAGTTCTGTTAGTCGAAGACGCTGAAAAGATACAGAGTCTTCTGGACACTTTGAGTGGTAATTTGAGAATGTTTGGGATGCGTTTCTTACCACCGAAATGCAAATTGTTGCTCCACTATTAGTGTTCAACGGTGCCTCGGTTAACAATAGAGAGTGAGTGTGTCAACCAATTCACTTAACTGGGAAGTAGGATCAGCTCTGGTGCGTTGATCAGTGGTCGATGAAATTTCTGCATTGATACAAAAGGCTGGACTAGCTTTTGCCAACTCACACCACCTGTGGCACTGCCACTGTATCCAGTTGTCTATTGAGGATCGCGTGTACTGCACATCAGTCTACTGTATGGCTGTGAAACATGGTCATTGAAGGTGGAAGACATGAGAATGCGGCTTCAGGTGTTTGACCACCATTGCCTGCGTAGTGTATAGACCTTATTCTGTGGTGTCACCACGTGAGTAACGCAGATGTCAATTGTAAAATTCTAGGGAGGGAGAGAGGGAGAAGAGTTAAGTCAGTCGACATGGTTATGAACCTTCATGAACTGAGATAGCTGACTGCGACATGTGTTACGTATGCCTAGTGATCGTCTGCCTCGTCACACAATGTCGACCGAAGTAGGTTGAGGCTGGTCAAAGGCTCGAGGTGGCCAGACTGAAACATGACATCATTGCATGAAGCCTTCGATTGTTGGTTTCAGCGATCCAAACTAGGTGTTTTGGGTCGGTGGGACAAGAGGGACCAGTGGTTGGAGACTGACTCTAGGTGATATGGCTGAGAACCGATGTCAGTGGTGCAGAACTATCCCCACACACACATTATCCTCATATTAACACTATACCGATTCTCGCCATTTTCTCATTCTTCCTTTCTTTCTTCTCGTATTTTATATTTCTTTTGAGTGAATTTTCTTATCTTCATCAACTTCACTGGCTTTTTACTTGATGTACTGATATGAGGTGTGGGAAGTGGGAGCGTTACACAGTGTGTTTACTCATCATTTGAATAAGATTTCTCGTGTGTGATATTTTGCTACGCAAAAAGATGTTTTCTTTCATCAGTTTGATTGGTTGACCATCGGATCGGTAAACGAGAGATCGATGTTTCGACTCGTCCTACCGCCGATATTCTTACTTCACCTTAAATCCTCATCGAGTATGAATATTTATTTGTTGACAGCTTATTGAGAGGATCAAGGTAAAACCTCTCTGACAGATGCGTTGGCTCAGGTATGTAGACTAGACACAGTTCTGTGACGTCATCAGCAATATGTGGATATACAAGTTTTTGCAGATGTCCAGAAGTGTATATATCTGAGCCACTGGGACGGATTACCAGTCTTTCATCTCGAAGACTCCTACCAGACAGTTTGCATCTCTCCGATCTGGCGTAGACTGGTTTCACGTCTTTGTCTAGCCACACTGAATCCTGTTCCAATCTAACCCAGCTTCCCCTAGCATAGGATTACACGTCTAGGTAGGTATTGGCTTGTCGTGTTTAGTACATCTCCAAGCCAACTCAACCGATGAAAGTTCATTACCCATTATCAATCGACTTTCCAGCCTTTCTTGCCTAACTCCTGAGATTAGATACACGGTGATTCCACTAGACGTAATCAATGCTATGAAGATATCCTTGATCGGAACCCTTTAACCGCCATTTCTTCAATTACTTTATGTCGACTGTCCATAGTTGTTCTGTAATTTATTTATTAAAGAAATAAAGTTTATATATACACATGCATACATAAAGCTGGCGTTTTCTTTTGTAATGTGACTGTTTGTAGTATCTTAATTTATATGTCTTCAGCTTTTAGCCGATTATATTCCGTACAACATCGACTTAAATATATATTATATATATATAAATATATATAATAATATATATATATACAACGGTGTATGAACTTCAACGGAAGTCCCTTTTCCATAGGTCAGTAATTTCATATCTTCATCCATCATGTCTCATCTACACACCAAACAGATCCTATTCAACAAGCATTTCATTAGACCTCGTCTGTACTGGAGAACTTAGATATTGTTGTGTTCATGCTGGCTTTGTTCTGTAGACTGGCCGACTTATTCAGTCATCTCGTCGACTTAGGGGTACATCTAAGAATGACAGGTGATGTTGATTTGTATGGTGTTAAACCATGTTCCTCATAAATGGCTGTGATGTCATCAAGATATCTGTGGTAAAGGGGAACTTTAATGATGATGTTTCATGAGGCAGATTTTCGATAGTATATGACATCCCATCATACTTACACCGTCAATTTGTTGAAATCTGTTCACCTTCAGTACATAACAATCATAGTTGTCTGTCGGAAGAGTTGGAGGAGTGGGGAATAGGAGGTTTGTACACGTTGACATGGATATATGAGAGATTCTATGTACCACTTTCGGATATGGTGGTAAGATACATCGATTGCTGAACACCAATCTCACATTGGCGACAGGAATCATCTTCTCTTCTAATGAACATTGAAATCTGCCTGTAATGATTTCACCTAGATTATCTCCATGAAATAGAAAGTTGAGCAATATACACTTCGAACAATCTGATGGCACACATTTATCGATTATTGGGGTTGGTGGGGACAAATGGAACCATTCAGATATACAGGGGATTACAATGTAGACAGATGCGAACAAAAGGAGGAGGAAGAGTGAATCACTTGCTGGCAGTCTAGGTGAGAAAATAAAGTTTATCAAGTAGGGTACGTAAAGTATTCACTAAGAACAAATTGTTTATGTACACACACGAAGGTAGTTTCAATTTGTGTATGGCTATTGCTTCCGTAAATATCTCAGTATGTATCCCTGACTGTTCATTATGTTAAACTTTGAAAGGTGATTGAACATGAATTTTGTGAACCGTTTCTATAATGTGCTTACCTATAGATGAAGAGAGTCGTCTTTCATCTAAGCTTATGAAAGTTTCACACTCACCATCTGGTTATAAAGCAATTTAAGGATACATGTTCTCCTAGCCACAACTGCATAGCTCGATTACTTCGGACTATGGATGTATGAGCACGCACACACATGTAAACTGGTAAACACAACGGGATGTGACGTAAACATCGGCAGGGTTTTGAGGTTTGTGGTGAAGCATATGTTTCGCTTCTTCTACAGTGATAAGAGTAGGTGCACAGTATGCTTTGTTCATGGGTGATATTAGCCTACTCAACTCTCCTCTGTATGATAGAGCGTATAGAGTTGATTTCGGTACTATCTGACTTCTATAGTGCTGTATAAACTTCAACGGATATCCATTTTCCATAGGTCAGTAATTTCATATCTACAAATACAATAGTTCCTATTCAACAAGCATTTTATTGTACCTCACTTCATCCATCCATCCAGATCAACCTAGGACAAGACATTACTGCGTAACGGTCCAAGTTGCCACACCTCATATCACTACATCAAGTAAGAAGGCAGTGAGGCGCACGATGAAGAATGCAGTCAAAGGAAATATAAAGTACTAAAGAGAGAAACGAAGAATGAGAAAGTAGTGAGATTCGGTATGGCATCCTTAAGATGAGGATAATGTGTGTGGGGATAGATCTGCACAACTGATATCGATCCTCAGCCATATCACCTAGAGTCAGCCTCCAACCACTGTTTCCTCTTCTCCCACGGACCCCAACCACCTAGTCTGCATTACCCCACATGGCTCAAACCAACAGTCAGAGACTTTATGCATTAGTGCCATGTTTTAGTCTGACCACCTCGGGCCTCTTTCCAGCCTGAGCCTACTTCAGCCAGCATTGTGTAACGAGGCAATCGGTGACTAGGCATACGTAACACGTGTCCCAGCCAACCATCTGAGTCGATGAAGGTTCATAACCTCGTCAACCGACTTATCTCTTCTCCTTAAAACTCTACACCTCACTTCTGCGTTACTCACGTGTTGTGGTGACACCATGGAATATGGCCTACAACACTACGAAGGCAACGGTGGTCAAACACCTGAAGCCTTCTCATCTCTTCCACCTTCAATGGCCATGTTTCACAGACATACAGTAGATTAGACCGGACTGCTGTGCAGTACACGCGACACTTAATAGACAGTCGGATATGGTGGCGGCGCCATATTTTGTGTAAGTTGTCGAAAACCGATCGAACCTTTTGTATCCGTGCTGAGATTTCACCGGCCACTGAGCAATCAGGGCTGATCCTACTTCCCAGGTAAGTGAAGTCGTCAACACACTCAACCATTACACTCACTATCTATTGTTAACCGTGGCCCGTTGAAGACCAATCCTTTAGCAACAATTCGCATTTGGGTGGTGATAAATGCATCCCAATATTCTCAAATTGCTACTCACTTGCATTGGATTAGATAAAAACTGTGGGAATTCAGTTATTGTGTTATGCTTGAAGGCTTTGTGTAGACTGACCATCTTATTAAAACATCTGCTCTTCAACTGAGTGTATCTCTCTCTCTTATCTATCGGGATAAAAAGTTAAGCATATCGATGTATATTTTGTGTTCAGACAATGGTTGATTAATTGGGGGGTGGGGGGCAAATTAGTCCGTTTCTAATGGCTTATGACCTCCTGTAAAGACGCCTTGATATACAGCTACCTTGTTGACATCTATATAGTAGGTGAAATGAGCCAAATCCTTATTATGAGGAATAGTGATACTACTAACTGGCAGTAGTAGTAGTAGTAGTAGTAGTAGTGTAGTGGGCGCTGCTAGTCAGAATGGATATATAAGTAGTATATGTTGAGAGGGAGGCAGAAATCGTAGGTAAAGATTCTGCACAGAGAAACACAAGTGACCATGTGGGCGTATTAAGAGGAAATGACTGTCTTATTGAAAAGTGTACAATATTTGATGACTATTGTACAAGTTGTCAATAATGAACATTTCTTCGTCTCCGTCTTGTCGTTTTCTACAATTGGCGTCGCTGCTTCTGGATGTGACGAAGATCCCGTAGCCTATAGAGTTCGAGGATGGAGACGTCAAGGTCTTCCTCAGGGACTTCGCAGAGCTGACGCATGTCCAGGATCCAGGAGCGAAGGTTATGGTACTTGGCAAGTTGCTTAGAGGTAGAATAAAAGCGACATGTGACAGATATTTGGGAGAGAATGGTTGAACGCCTGCAGACGGAGTTTAACAGCGCAGCGTACAGGGAGCTGGCGATATAGCAGTTCTGGATCACGATACTTGGAATAAACAAAGATACGCTAGTATTAGCTGTTAAGTTGACAAAACTACTTTGACGATGACTTCCTACTTTGGATGAGGACTCCCTGGAGGAGTTGCTGACTACACAGTTTACCGAAAATGTCCCAAATGCCATCGACTAGTCAACGCAACCCAACCAGACAGATGATGGGTACATCAGTAGCTTTAGTGGAACCATCAGAGGTAAATAACTGGAGAAAACAAGTCGATAACCTTCGAGAGGAAGTGACTGGACTTCGAATGAATATCAACAGACAGAATCTTTACCTATTGCTGTTAACTGCCTATAGGTATGGCGCTTGAGTCCCGTGGGGGATAATATTCACTAGAAAGTGTCTGTACGTTTAACGGTGGTGGTGGTGGTCATAGTTCACTCAGGAACGATTAAAATAAACCGAAATGAAGTAGTTTGTTGTAATGTATATTCGATGAAAAGTTTTTATTCGACCACGTTTCAAATAGGCCCCCTAAATCGACACTATCCCCACTTATCGTGGTGTAGACAACCAATTGATCACCTCCTTCCATTTTATTCTTATTTTAGTGATATTTCTCACTCTCTCTGTCGACGTGTATGTGAATCGTATTCATCATCATGACCACATTAGCTGATTTACACAGATTACGAGAAGCTCATGCAACGGGAAATGCAAACAAAGATGGTAAGTTGTATTTCTCTCCCTCTCTCCCTTTTTGTTGTAGTTGTTATTCGTGTCTAGTTAATCAACTGATTCCACGTGTAACTTTAGCCATCATAAACCTTTTTCCATTCTAATCCAACATGTTGAGTTAGGCGGTGGCTTGGCATACACAAAACACATGTTCAAACCATCTCAGTCAACTTAAGGTTCACAATCTGATCAATCGACTTGTATGCTTGTCTTACCTAGTACCCTTCACTTGACGTCTTCAATTCTCATATGATGACTTGATCAAACGCGAGCAGTCATCATCATCATTATCAACATAGGACCAGGCATTACTGCGTAACGGTCCGAGTTGCCACACCTCATATCAGCACATCAAGTAAAAAGGTAGTGAGGTGAAGGATGAAGATAAGTGAATGCAGTCAAAAGAAATATAAAGTACGAGAAGAAAGGAAAGAGGAGTGACAAAATAGTGAGATTCGGTATAGCGTTGTTAAGATGAGGATAATGTGTGTATACATCTGCGCCACTGACTTCGGTTCTGAGCCATATCACCTAGGGTCTCCAACCACTGGTTCCTCTTGTCCCGCGGACCCCAACCACCTAGTCTGCATCGTCCTACATGGCTTAAACCAACAGTCAGAGACTTCATACATTGGTGCCATGTTTTAGTCTGGCCACCTCGGGCCTTTTTCCAGCCTGGACCCACCTCAGCCAACATTGTGTGACGAGGCAATCGGTGACTAGGCATACGTAGTACGTGTCCCAACCATCTCAGTCGATGAAGGTTCACAACCTCGTCGACTGACTTACCTCTTCTCCCTAAAACTCTACACCTAACTTCTGCATTACTCACATGGTGACACCACGGAATACGTCCTATACTACGAAGGCAACGGTGGTCAAACACCTGAAGCCTTCTCATGTCTTCCACTTTCAATGGCCATGTTTCACAGCCATACAGTAGAACAGAGCGGACTGCTGTGCAGTACACGCGACCCTTAATAGACAAACGAATATCACGGCGGCGCCATAGGTGGCGCAAATTGGCAAAAGCCAATCGAGCCTTTTGTATCCGTGCAGAAATCTCATCGGCAACTAACCCACCGGGTTGATCCTACTTCCCAGGTAAGTGAAGTGGTCAACACACTCAACCACTTCACTCTCTATTGTTAACCGCGGTACCGCTGAAGACCAGTCCTGGAGCAAAAATTTGCATTTGGGTGGTGAAAATCGCATCCCAAACATTCTCAAATTCCCACTCAAAGTGTTCAGAAGACTCTGCATCTTGTCAGCGTCTTCACCTAACAGGACTATGTCATCTGCATATTCTAGATCTAAGGAAAATTCACCTGTGATTGGGTCAACGTCTGTGTAATTAGGTGACGAGAGGGAAACCTCCATAAGAATATCTATGATAAAATTAAATAAGAATGGGGATAGTGGGCATCCTTGACGGACACCACTTGATGAGTATAGCTCCCTGGACAACTCACCATAGGCTCTAACATGCCCACAAGTGTTCGAGTAGAGAGCTTTCAATAAGGTGATGTACTTACTAGGCACGCCTTTCAGTGACAGACACTGCCATAAGACTTCTCGATCAACGGAGTCAAATGCCGCCTTCAGGTCGAGAAATACAGCTATTGTCGGGCGTCTGTAAGCATGCCTATGTTCCAGGACCTGGCGCAGTGTGAATATTTGGTCGATACATCCACGGCCAGGTCTAAAGCCTGCCTGGTTTTCTCGGGCTTGCTGTTCCCGAGCTCCACTCAGGCGTCGGAGAATTATAGAACTTAGGATCTTAGACACTATGTTTGTCAGGCTGATTCCTCTGTGGTTATCACAAGAGGACTTCTCGCCTTTCTTGAAGACTGGGATGATGAGTGACTTAGACCAGTCGGAGGGGATCGTATTTGATTCCCATATACTGGCTAACACTTCCGTTAGCCTGACTAAGAGAACTCTACCACCATTCTTGTATACCTCAGCAGGTAGTCCGTCTGGTCCTGCTGCCCTTCCCGTTTCAGGCTACCTACCGCTTTCTCAACTTCTTCTAGTGTTGGGGGGCCTGTCTCTATGTCCCATTCAGGGTCCGACTGGATAGCGGGCAGCGCAATGGTGGCTGGAGGCCAGTTAAACTGTTCCTCAAAGTGTTCTGCCCATCGTCCCAGTCGCCTTCCCTGCGAGTGAATCGCAGATCCGTCCTTCTCCGCTATAACCTCACTAACTGTTGTTGACCATTTCCCCCCAGTCTCCTTAATAAGTCTAAATAACTGTCTACTGTTACCGATCGCCGCTGCCTTTTCCATCTCTTTAGCCTTTGCTGCCCACCACTGTTCACGATCGTTGCGCAGACTTTTCGTCAGTTATTTTTAAGTTGCGCTCGCTCTTCATTGTACTCAGAGCCTGCAGGGATGCATTCACGTGCATCCATTAGTTTGGAAGAAGCTGCTGATATCCACTGGCTCTTTTTAGCCATTATCTTGGAGTCGGCTACAGTCTCCAGTGCTGCTTTTACAGTAGACTGAAGATGGCACCAAGCTTCTTCTGGATGAGTGACAGTCTTTTGTTCCGATAACTGCCTAGCCAACTTCTCACTGAACACGGCTTTGGTGTTTTCGTTGTCCAGCAGAACTCGTAGTGGTTTTGTTGCCAAATTTTTTCTACGTCCATTGAGACGCAGGCATATACGTGCTCGGACCAACGCATGATCGCTGTCCAAACACGTACTCCAGAAGGAGCGGCAGTCTTCCACCGATCCTCTCCAGCGATGACTAATAGCAATGTGGTCTATCTGTGTCCATCGCTGAGTCGAGCTCGGTGGACGCCAGGTCAGACAGTGCCTTTCTTTATGTCTGAAATTTGTGCTGGCTAAAAATAGGCGGTTATCTGAGCATAGTTGTAATAGGCGATCACCGTTATCTGTACGTTCAGCTGGGATTCCGAAAGTGCCACCTAAGTGCCTTTCTGCCTCACTCAGTCTACCCACCTGTGCGTTGAGGTCACCTGCAACAACCACTACGTCCGAACGTTTGGCTTTCGAGAGGAGGTTAGACAGTTTATGGTAGAACTCGTCCTTCACTTCATCCGAGCTGCTGTATGCGTGTCTCACAAACACAGCACACATCCATGGCCCGAGTTGCTAGAGTCTTTGCTAACGAAGCCTGTTGGCCAATTTGACGGAGGGTGCGGACATTGAAGGCTCCAATATGTAATTTGGAGCGTGGTTTAAGGAGACCAGTGATGCTGTTCTGTGGACTCAGATCGTTGTCGAAGGCTGCAGAGGTAGGAGAAATTGAAGATGATGCAGCATCATTAATTAAGAGACGTGAAGGAAGATTAGAAGGTAATGATGGAGGAGGTGGATAGCAGTCAGAAGAAACTTGAGTGCTGACAGAGTTGTGAGGGCGGTTGACACTTCCCGGCTGCCCACACCGTGGAAGGCTATTTCTTCTTAAGGTACCTGAAAGAGATTTGTGTGACCGCAGAGCCCATCGGACATCTGCTTGAGGCCTGTCACACCCAGCCTTTTGAGTATGGTTATTTTGAATTTTTGTATTTTTGGGGCAGGATGGTCGAAAGGAAACGACAAGTGAACCAACACCGCCGGCCCGGCAGACCGTGGGGCATGGTGGAGTGTGTTATTTTTGGGGCCGACCTTTTCTAACCCCCCCTTCCACTGAGAAGGCAGCATCAGCATGGCACTGCTGGTCATCCAAGGGAAACACCTTACTGCTGTCACACCCCATCCAGCTAGCAGCAGTACGACTTCGCCCTCAGACCCCCATCATAGTGTAGCAATTTACACTATAACGGTAACTGCTTTTCGTCTAACCACTATCCAACAGACCTTTCTGGTATGGTAGGACCTCGAGGGAACAAGCTTTCCACCAGCATAGCTCGTTGGGTCATTGTGATATGCAAGCCCGACCACCAAGTCAAGGTAGCTGCTATCGGTCGCGAGCAGACAAATCGTGGATCACCAATGTGACATATGACAGCAAGTACTAACGAAACACATGTCAAATATATACATATTTCCGCTCATGGTGTTCAGAAGATCCTACATTTCATTCCTTTAGTACATCTATGACAAAGTTGAATAAGAACGTTGACAGTGAACATCCCTGTTGAACACTGCTAGTTGTTGTCAGTTCACATGACAGGGTTGCATAAACCCGAGTACAGGCCTTTGATTAGCATTATATTACTTGCTGAATTCTCTCCCTTTATCGTTATCAGAAACGGTCACAATATCTCACAGCCGATAGAGTCATTTGGCGCCTTCAGGTCAAGGAATATTGCGTATCGCGTGTCCAGCTGGTAAATATGCATGTGTATCAGAACTTCTCGGTGGGTAAATATATGATCGGTTTAGCATATGATCTCAGTTGTCTATTGATAGACAGTGAAGCTTCACACAGTGATCATGTAATGCTAAGCACTGACCTATTTATAACTATCAACTGCCACCTACGCTCATTACTGAAGCTCAGATGGCCAGAAAGGGTAAGCAACAAGAAACTCTGGCAACGAACCAACCAAGAACCTATCGCTCAACAAATATGCAGAAAAAGGAAGTGGAGATGGATTGGTTATGAACTGAGAAGTCCGACTGGGGATATCACGCGCCAGGTCAGACACTCGAGTTAAACCCAGATGAGAAACGGCGAGTTGAGCGTCCGAGCCGATGGTGACATGGAGGAGAGAGAGCTTTTGAGACAGTCGTGGAGCCAGGTTCAAAAGATTGCAAAGAACAAAGCGGAATGGAGAAGTGCTACTGAAGCCCTATGTTCCACTAGGAACCCAAGGGACGAATACATAAAATAAATCAATGTAATAATTGGCAATGTAGCCATCAAGCTGGAATGCTCTTCATCGCGATGTACCTTAATAGAGGAAATTAGTTATCTGGAAGGTAATCAAAAGGTAGTCTTTCTCTGCTTAGCTTTCATGTTTGTTAGCACTTGTCAGTAAGGTGTGTGTACAACCTCAAGGGAAGTGATGATGTCTCCTGTGAGATTCGGTCAGGATATGACAACGGAACCAATCAATATATGTAGTTCAATGCGTGAATTGAAACATGTAGATGATGCTGGTAAGAATTTTTTCAGTTGAAACATCAGTTCCTTCAAGATTCCACATACATATGTTACTGATGAGTGCTACCAAGCGCGAAACTTATGGCTCTCTGTCGACTAATGCGAATACAATCTCGTTGAATAAAACTCATTTTAACAATAGGCAGTATGTTATGTTGATTACATAGCATAATAGTTTACTACCCAGTGGATAATAATCGGAAATCGAGAAACAAATTTTTATTTATATATTATTTTATTAGTCCCTTGGGTTCCTAGTGGAACATAGGGCTTCAGTAGCACGCCTCCAGTGACCTCTGTTCTCTGAGATCTTTTGAACCTGGTCCCACGACAGCCCCGAAGCTCTCATTTCCTCCTCGCACGACCTCCTCCATGTCACCCTCGGACGTCCAACTCGTCGCTTCCCATGGGGATTCCACTCGAGTGACTGGCCTGACGCGTGATGTCCTCAGTCGGCCTTCTCAGTGCATGGCCAATCCATCTCCACTTCTTCCTGCATATTTGTTGCGTGATAGGTTCTTGGTTGGTTCGTTCCCAGAGTTCCTTGTTGCTTATTCTTTCTGGCCATCTGATCTTCAGTAGCGAGCGTAAGCAGTTGTTGATGAATGTCTGTAGTTTATTGGAAATGCCTTTCGTAACGCGCCAAGTCTCTGAGCCATACAAGAGCACTGACTTGACGTTGGTGTTAAAATCCGGATCTTGTTCACGCTTTATGCTGAGTACAGAAGATCTCCACACTGGTTTCAGGCTAATGAACGCCTGTCTTGCTTTTCCGATTCTGACTTTGACGTCCTCGTCCGTCCCGCCTGTAGTTGAAACAGTGCTTCCTAGATAAGTGAAGGAGGTTACTTCCTTCAAGTTTCTCCCGTTGACGGTGATTGGAGTTTGTTGTTGTTGTTGATGGTGGTGGTGCGGTATCTTCATCACTTCTGTCTTCTCTATATTCACCTGAAGTCCCGTCTTAGCTGCCTCTTCTGTCAACTTGTTAGTTTTTGCCTGCAGATCTTCAAGTTTATGTGACATTAGGCATAAGTCATCGGCGAAATCCAAGTCTTCTAGGTTCTTTTCCGTCGTCCAGCGTATCCCCCTCTTCTCGCTGCCTGCTGTTTGCTGCATGATCCAGTCCACCACAATAAGGAATATCATGGGGGATAGTAGGCAACCTTGTTTCACTCCTGTCTTCACTTCAAAAGCATCACTGAGCTTCCCATTGTGAATTACTTGGCATGTGGCATCTTCATATAGTTGTTGAATGAGGCGGATAAAGGTTTGCGGTACTCCGTAGTATTGAAGCAGTTTCCAAATTACTTCTCGGTCGACGCTGTCAAAGGCCTTCTCAAAGTCGATGAAGTTGAGGTGGAGAGGTGATTGCCATTCTATGCTCTGTTCTATGATGATGCGAAGCGTTGCAATTTGGTCAGCACATGATTTGTACTTCCTGAAGCCTGCCTGTTCCGGTCGTAGTTTTGAATCCAGTGCATCTTTAAGCCTCTCCAGGATGATGCCGAGAAACAAATACCGGCCTGTAATTATGAACGAAAAAATACATCATTTATTACAATAGTCGCGGAACCTGAAGGTCGCGGGTTCGATCCCTGCTGGTGAGGTCGTGGGTGCTCACCGCTGAGGAGTCCCATACTAGGACGAAACAGCTGTCCAGTGCTCCCAGGTTTCCTTTGTTCCTCCAACTGATGTCAGTCTTCGATGAATAACAACAATAGTTTCTATAAATATAATTATAAAGTCTTTAGGTCAAGTATTAAATAGCTTCATTTTGATTGATTAACTGAAGGACAAAATTATTCAGTAAGGTTTTTACCTCACCACACTCACACACGAAGGTTGTTCAACACTTGTGTACATCAAAATTAGAAAAAAGAAAGCACGTAAAAGTATGTTTAGAGACTTAGTCTGCCTAATTGTAATTGTCTGATTCACGTGATTTTGCAGTTTCCATATTGACCTTGCATATGATTGTTCCATTATAAATACGCTTGATTGATTCAGTGTATCCAATCCACCCACAAATGATGAATCATACAATTCAGCCTTTTCAACTGCTTACAAGTCAGCTGTCCTCTTTTTTCAGGCGATCTGATTGGTCTTTGTGAATAACCTGACCACAGCGCATCATAATTTGTGAAGAACTAACAACCAATTAACTTCAAGGTCAAACATATGAGATAGATAATATACAGTGTATCATGGAGCACAACTCCATTGTCATTTTTCCCCTTTTAAAACCTTACTCATTTATGATGTAATCATTTGTGTCTGTTTATTTCTTAGGTACTCTAGACGAAGTAGACAAGACTGCTCAAGAAGCAATTCATCAATTAGAACTACGTAAAAAGGTAAACAGTTTCTTTTTAGTATTTTTGATGAACATCAGTCAGATAGAGAGGTAGAGGTAGGTTATTTGCGGGAAACGAGGGATGATAAGTGAGATCCTCAAGATAACTAGGATACACACACTTTGTCACTTTTGAGTTCTCGTCAATAGAATATTCTTTGTTTAAAGAAACATTCTAACTGTCTGTAAATACATTTCCATACACTTTCAGTCATATTCAAGTGTATTAAGGCAGGCTGTCTACTCGAACTCTTGTGGATGTGTTAGAGCTCATGTTGAGATATCCAGGGAGCTGTACTTGTCGAGTGATGTCCGTCAAGGCTGCCCACTCTCTTCATTCTTATTCAGTTTTATCATACATATTCTAATGGAGTTCTCCCTCTCGTCACCAGGTTACACAGACTTTGACCTAATAACAGGAGAATTTTCGCTAGACCTAGAAAACCTAGGTGACATTGTCCTGTTAAGTGAAGACGCTGACAAGATGCAGAGTCTTCTGAACACTTTGAGTGGGAATTTCAGAATGTTTCGCATGCGGTTCTCACCACCGAAATGCAAATTGTTGCTCCAGGATTCGTGTTCAACGATGCCTTGGTTAACAATATAGAGTGAGTATAGTGGTTCAGTGTGTTGGCCACTTCGCTTACCTGGGAAGTAGGATCAGCCCTGGTGCGTTGGTCAGTTTTCCATGCAATCTCTGCATAGATACAAAAGGTTCGGTTGGCGTTTGACAATCCACGCCACCTATGGTGCCGCCACCATATCCGACTGTCTATTAAGTGTCGCGTGTACTGCACAGCAGTCCGGTCTAATCTACTGTATGTCTGTGAAACATGGCCATTGAAGGTGGAAGAGATGAGAAGGCTTCAGGTGTTTGACCACCCTTGCCTTCGTAGTGTTGTAGGCCATATTCCATGGTGTCACCACAACACGTGAGTAACGCAGAAGTGAGGTGTAGAGTTTTAAGGAGAAGAGATAAGTCGGTTGACGAGGTTATGAACCTTCATCGACTCAGATGGTTGGCTGGGACACGTGTTACGTATGCCTAGTCACCGATTGCCTCGTTACACAATGCTGGCTGAAGTAGGCTCAGGCTGGAAAGAGGCCCGAGGTGGTCAGACTAAAACATGGCACTAATGCATAAAGTCTCTGACTGTTGGTTTGAGCCATGTGGGGTAATGCAGACTAGGTGGTTGGGGTCCGTGGGAGAAGAGGAAACAGTGGTTGGAGGCTGACTCTAGGTGATATGGCTGAGAATCGATATCAGTTGTGCAGATCTATCCCCACACACATTATCCTCATCTTAAGGATGCCATACCGAATCTCACTACTTTCTCATTCTTCGTTTCTCTCTTTAGTACTTTATATTTCTTTTGACTGCATTCTTCATCGTGCGCCTCACTGCCTTCTTACTTGATGTAGTGATATGAGGTGTGGCAACTTGGACCGTTACGCAGTAATGTCTTGTCCTAGGTTGATCTGGATGGATTTATTTGGCGTCTTTGTGTTGAACCGTCATCGACTGAAGGACATTGATGCAGTCTCAGGAGATTTTTTAATGGATCCAGTGTATGCAGATGATATAATCCTGTTCAGGGATGGTACTGAGGAAATGGAAATTTTAAGGTGTTTACTTATGCGTTTATCGTCGACCAACTACAAATTGTTACTTCACAGCTGATCTGTATCGTTGACCTGGGTCTAAGGATAGAAATTCAAATTGTTTGAGAACGGTGAACACTTCACATACTCTGGAATCAGATCTGCTTTGATAATAGATTGATGCAATAGGCTGATCTTTTTTTCGCCAACTCGTGCCATCTGTGACGTCTTTGCGGTATCTGCTTTGTTCTACTCTCTGGCTGTGAAACATCATCATTAAAGCTAGATGACTTGAGAAGATTTCTGGTGTTATCATGAGGATAACGCAAAATTCAAGTGGGTAGTCTTACGTAGAAGAAGAAAGTTAGTTGATAAGGCTGTGAACCAACCTTTGACTAAGATGGCTGGCTGAGATATATGTTACGTGTGCCTAGCCACAATCTGCCTTGTGAGTAATCAGGCAATATCGAGCCATCCACCCTTTTGTCAACAGAGATCGGTCAATTCACTCCATCCAGCTTTTTAGCTTATATCCTTTTTTTTGATGGAGATACAAGTATAAGGAATTCAGATAAAAAATATAAACTAACATATTCATCTTTATGGTTAGATATTTGCTGCAGTTATCCTGATGAAGTTAGATAAAACGGTCTGCTCAATGGTGAATGCATGCTGCAAGAATCAGACATAAATAAGATAAACTTCATCTGCCTGATTGTAGTCGACTGGATCATGCAACAGACAACTGTGAGAAGATGGTCATACGCTAACTGGATCGATGAAAAGACCATAGAAGATTTGGATTTCGCCCACGATGATTTATGTCTAATGTCTCATATACTCGAAGATCTACAGTTAAAAACCAATAAGTTGACAGAAGAGGCAAGGCAGCGAAAACGGGACTTCAGGTGAATGTAGAGAAGACAGAGATGATGAAGATACCCAGTCAATCGCAACAACAACAAGAAGCACCAATCATCATCAACGGGAGAAATCTGAAGAATGGTGTCTCTTTCACCCACGTAGGCAGCATCGTTTCAACTACGGGCGGCTGCGACGACGGCGCAGATGAAGATGTCAAAGCGAGATTCGATAAGACAGGAAGACAGGCCTTCATTAACGTGAAATAAGTGTGGTCTGCTGCACTGCACTGCACTGCACTCAGCATAAAGCGTGAACAAGATCTGGTCTTTCAACACTAAGTCAGTCAAGTCAGTACTTGTCTCTATGTGACGGTTGAGAGACTTGGCGCGTTATGCAAAGCATTTCCAACAAACTACAGACATTCATCAACAGCTGCTGCCCACTCTTACACGACAGTGAAGATCAGAGGAGAAGGCGAGAAGGAATTAGCAAGGAGGAACTGTGGTTGGTTGGCTGGCAACGAACCAACTAAGAACCTATCGCCCAACAAATATGCAGAAGAAGAGAATGGAGATGTATTGGGCATGAAGTGAGAAGACGATTTGGGGACATCACGCGCCAGACCAGGTGCTCGAGTGGAACCCAAATGGGAAAGGATGAGTTGGGCGTCCGAGGGTGACATGGAGGAGATTGTGTGATTCAGAAATGAAAGCTTGTGGGCAGTCATGAAGCCAGGTTGAAAAGACTGCAGAGAGCAGAGTGAAATGGTGACGAGGTACTGAAGCCTTATGTTCCATTAGGAACCCTAGGGATAAATAATAGTAATCAATGAAGTAATCGGAGTAAGGAAAGGCTAATTATAAAGGTAAACAAACAGAACTAGATATAGTTTTGAGTTATATAAACATTTCTCATCTTCGTTCTTGCCTTCTCTTACCATTTTATCTTCTTTTTTCAAATGTAATAGGCTCGTTTAATTCAAGTATCTTCAGAAGATTCTGAAGTAAGAGCATATCTTCGCCAACTTGGTGAACCTGTGTGTAAGTGTAAAGTGTATTTTATTCATAAATTAATTTTATCTACACTTCACATTAAGATTAAATTGGTGTATTGAAACCTTGAAGCACTGGTCAGCTGTTTCGGCCTAGTATGATACTCCTCATCAGTGTGAACCCACGACCCTGCCAGGAATCGAACCCGTGACTTTCAGGTTTCGTGGCCAGCACGTTAACATTGATCCAATGGTCCATATTTGCATCTTTTTTTTAGCTCACGAAAAATTCAGTATAACTTATTGCCTATTGGACCAATGTGTAATAATGTTGATTGATTGGAAAATGAGACTTATTGATTAGAAAGTCTCGATTTTAATCCATAATTCCTTTGTCGTTTTCAACTGAAATCTCTTACACATTACGTCAGTAACCTTATTAACACCATGAGCCTTTTTTCATCATAATCCAATTTCTTGTAACATGATATTATCGAAGTAGACGAAGCTTCAGTATACGCAGTACACCTCTAAGCCATCTGAGTCAACTCATCAATCGATTTGTTGACTTGTCTTGCCTAGTAGTATTCTTTGCCTAACGTGTAAATTGCTCACATGCTGGTTCCACTATACGTCAGCAATGTCACGATAACATATGTGTGATCAAATTCCAATAATCCCTCCATGTCGTGTAGTTCTAACGGTTATCACTCACAACCATACACCAAGACACCTTGTAGAGTTAAAAGTGTTTAATGAGGATTTACTTGACTACTCAGTAAGATTAAAAAAAACATACTTCTACCTTAGCAGTTGATAACTCTTAAAATGCTGAGATGCTTCATTTCAGTAGTATGTTGAACTATCACAGAGTCAAATAAAGTTACCTGACCCAATTAATGTTAGAGACAAACCTCGTAACGCCTTAGCAACTAAACTTATTATTGAAATTGGCGCATAAAATCAGTTTTTTTTAGATGAATAGGGATTTTAATTTAGAGGTGGTAATCAACTCGTTACCTCAACTTCATCGACTTTGAAAAGGCCTTCGATCAAGGCGTCGACCGAGAAGTGATTTGGCAAGCAGCTGCTCCAATACCACGGTTTTAGTGCCACAAACCTTTATCAACCTCATTCAACAGCCATCTGGTATATGCTATATGCGAAGTGATTGACAATAGAATGATCAGTGATGCCTTTGAAGTGAAGTGAAGTGAAGACAGGGGACAGGAGTAAGAGAAGGTTACCACCTACTATCTATCACGACCGATGATCTTCGTGATTGTGGTCGACTGGACTGGGGTGGATCATGCAATAGACAACTGTGAGGAGCTGTGAGAAGATGGGCATACGCTCTCTGTTTGACCGATGTAAAGACCGTAGAAGATTTGGATTTCGTCGATGATGATTTATGTCTAGTGTCTTGTCGTACAAACTGGAAGATGTACAGGCGAAAACTAACTTATAATGTTGGCAGAAGAGGCGTAGCAGCGAAGACGGGACTTCGTTCAGGTGAACATAGAGAAGACAAAGGCGATGAAGATAACCAACGAACAACAACAACAAGCTCCAGTCACCAAGAACGAGGGAAATCTCAAGGAGGTTGTCTGCTTCACCTAGCTAGACAGCATCGTCTCAACTACAGGCGGCACAAATAAGGATGTCAAAGCCAGGTTTGGAAAGATACCAAGACAGGACTTCAACAATCTGAAATGAACCTGTGTGGAGACCTACTGCACTGCACTGCACTGCACTCAGTATAAAGTGTGAACAAGATCTGGATTTTCAATGCTAATGTCAGTCATGTCAGTGCTTCTGTATGTTGGTTAAGAGACTTCATGAGTTACGAGTTTCCAACAAACTGGAGATGTACATGTACAGCTACCACCTACGTCCACTGCATACTGAAGATCAGGTGAGAAGGCGAGAAAGAATAAGCAAGAAGGAACTCTGGCTGACAGGCAACAAACCAACCGAGAACCTATCGCCGAACAAATATGCAGAAGAGAGTGGAGATGGGTTGGATTGGATATATACTGAGAAGACGATTTGCGGACATCACGCGCCAGTCCAGGCCGTCGAGTGGAACGCGAATGTGAAACGACGAGTTGGTCATCTGAGGCTGATATAAAGGAGATCAATGTGAGGAAGAAATGAAAGCTTATAGAAAATCGTGGAGCCAGACTGGAGAGAAGAGAGTGAAGTGGCGATGTGCTACTGAAGGTGTATTTTCCACTCGGAACCCAACGAACAAATAATAATAATAAAAATAGGTGGAGACTCAGAGAACATTTAGGGTCTTACAAGACATTCAGTTATCTGTTAAAAAACGCTTCAGTCTGTTCTGTCTTGTTGTACTACTGTAGGATATCAGGTGAAGAGTACTAGGCATATATAGTCATGTTGACACCGATCTGGCGCCTACCTTGACGTACCATATTAGGGGATGTTCGATTAGGTTGGAAGAGTCATGGTTACGGCATCAAGACTTGACTGAAGTTTCGGAGACGATAGGAATTAGCACTTGAGGATTCTTGATGATATACCTCTTTAGTGTTCATTTAGCTGACTTGGCTGGGTACACCAGCCTGTACGGGCTAAGTTACATATCACAACATCATATGGTACTTAGTCAAAATCCTAAGTGATTGAATTCAGCTGACAGTCAATAATCCCAAGGGGTCAACAATTCTAATCTCATTGTGATACAGATTTTCATTTGTATCTTCATTCATTATCAATTATGAACAAAATTGATAATGTTGTTTAGAAGTAGTATTCATCATGAACTGACCTCATTTGGGGAACCATTGAAAATCTGGGAGCACAAGACAGCTGTTTCGTCCTAGCGTAGGACTCCTCAGCAGTACGCACCCACGACCTGGCTAGGGATCGAACTCAGGACCTCCCAGATTTTCAATGGTTCTCCAACTGATGTCAGTTCATGATGAATACTACTTCTAAATTAAAAAAATCCCCATTCACCTCTAAAATTAAATTTATCCTCTAGGTTTATTTGGTGAAGATGGTGCTGATCGACGTGAACGTTTACGTATGATTCTTGCTGTGAGCGGTGGTCCAGCTCAACGACCACCTTTACCTGATACAACAAACTCGTCTACTGGAACATCTGGTAGTGGTACACAGTTGAATCGATTAGGTGAAAGTATTCCTAGTGAAGCTGTCGGCGATGTAAGTTATATTGGATTGTACCTCTCTTTCTCTCCATCTACGTTTCAGGTCTCACAGTTCACTCGACCCGTTTGTTTATTAAGCGCCCATTGTACTTTACTGCAGTCCACTCTGTTCTACCATATAGCTGTGAAACATGGGCGATAAAGGTAGGAGATATGAGAAGGAGGCTTCAGGTGTTTGACCACCACTTGTTTCATAACCGTAACTCAGAAGTTCGGTGTAGAATTTCAAGGAGGGAAGAAGGAGAGGTAAGTCATTTGATGAACCTTTATCGACTGAGATGGCTATGACATGTGTTACGTATGCCTAGTGGCCATCTGCCTTGTCACACAAAGTCAGCTAAAGTAGGTCCAAGCTGGAAAGAGGCTCGGGGCGGTGACACCAAACCATGGCATGAAGTCATTGACAGTGGGAGAATATGGTTACCGAAATAGTTTCAAAAGTAAATGGTGAGTGTAAGAGACGACCGACGCTCTTCGCGATCTATAGCTAAACATATTATGGAAACGGATTAGAAAATCAATTTTCTAACATCTCTCAAAGTTTTGACATAGAAATAAACAGTCAAGGAGAACGCGCTTATTCACATCATGATTGATTCTTACCAGAGCTTATCTATGTTGATGTCTGGGAGAGGATTCGTTTAAAAGGTATCCAAATGGAATTCAGCTTCATATTGTTGTAAGAGTAGTAGGGAAGTTATGAAATGGGGAAAAGAGATCGTCTCAGTTTAAACTCGTTTAAGTTATTGTAGAAGTCAGATGAAAGGGGTACTAAGTAAGATGAAGTTCAGCGAAGCCTTCATCAAATGTACTATACCTGTTGGATTAGGTTAAACGGGGGGGGGATCACAGTTACCAGACTCAGATATATGGCACTGATTGATGAAGTCTCTCATCGACTTCACAGATCCTATTTGCCAATCAGATACTATATGTAATGCATTCTTGATAACGAGGTATACTATACCCGGTGGTCGCTGGTTCGAATCCGGCCGCGGTAGGTAGTAACGCGTCACGAATTCACACGGTAGTCGGGTGATACAACCCTTGATGATTGAAGTGAAATAAAATAGATCTGGTCACCAGTCGGACCTCGTAACTTAGTTGGTAGAGGACCGGGCCGGTAACCGGGCGGTCGTTGGTTCGAATCCGGCCGTGGTCCATCTCACCCAGTACGAATACTAGTCTGTCAAACTAAGGTTGTCTGAGATAGTTGAATGAAAATATTATAGAGTTAGAAAAATGTTAGTATAAAGAAATTTGCAGAATAAACTTCGCGCTTATCTCATTTCATCAGCTGCAGACAGAAATAAATGGAGATTTGGTATTCACGATTAACAATAGGGTGGTAGTGAATGAGTCAAGGTAACACCAATTTTAATCAAAATCCAGTGATAATTTATACACATCTGACTGAGATGGAAGATGCTGAAACTGTGGAGTAGGCGAGGCGGGACAGTAAACGAAAATCAGTGTAAAACAGGGGACTGTTTAAGAGGTAACAGGTTACGTAACTACAGTGAGTAAGTAACTCATGAAGTGATGATGCAGTCAGAGAGAAAGGCAAGACTATACATACACATATAGTTACCAAAGTAAAGAAAGGTTGATTACAGTCTCTGAGTTTATACATCAGGTTGAAAATGTTTGATAGCGAGAGCATTGAGAAACATCTCTACTTGATGCTCTGTCCCCACCAAGCCCCTGGCGATTTCACTGATGGAGACCTTGCCATTAAGACACAGATTCCTCAGCATATACTCATCTTCCTTTCACTCCGTCGTATGTACTTGCTTCCATAAGCACAGGTGATATGAGATGGGTACTTGTCTACTTTCAACTGTGTTATTGAGCATACACTGAGATCAGTTAGGTAGCAGGGAAACTCTTTTTCAGCGCAGCTTTTATTCCTCTGTGTCTATTCCTCAAGATATCTCATTAGCGTTGAATGTCAGATAACTGACAGAACGGAAACTGTAGTATACTGAAGGAAGGTACTTACCAATCCACATGTTTTTTCTGTGAATAGTTTTCTCAACTTGTACCATCACATCTCTGTTTTATACTCAGACTCATTGTGAAGATGTCGAACAACTTGGATATGCTGCCTACACCCACGCGATACTGAAGATCAGATCAGATGGCCAGAAAGAATAAGCGACAAAGAATTCTGGGAACGAACCAACCAAGAACCTATCACCCAACAACTATGCAGAAGAAGAAAGTGGAGATAGATTGGCCATACATTGAGAAGGTCGACTGGGGACATCACGCGCCAGGCCGTCGAGTGAAATCCAATGAGGAAACGACGAGTTGATCGTCGGAGGCGAGGTTGACATAGAGGAGGAGGAGGTGGTGTGAGGGAGAAATGAAAGGTTTTTGGCTGTCGTAGTGTGAGGTTGAAAAGACTGCAGAGAAGAGAGTGGAATGGAGATGTGCTACTGAAGCCCTATATTCCACTACGAACTCAAGGGAAAAATATTAACAATAAATCATCGATATGCTTGCAGTAGTATATCACTTCGAAGATCATAGAGTTGAGAATTATTCTTTCAAGATTAACCATGAATATAACAGCTAGGATAGTTCCTAATGGTGAATCGATAGTCAATGTATAACTGTTTGTATTACTGCCGAATTTCTATCGGATCGTCAGTTTATTTGAATGCGACCATGTAGCTGTATCTTTTTACCTGAAGACTATCGTTTCAGAAGGGTTGACTAAATGTACACTACTTTTTTTGAAGTGGTCTAACGCTTTGGTCAGCTTACATTCCCATCTTTAGAAATCGTATAAACTTTAGGTGCCAGTAAGATATTCAGTTGTCTGTCAAAGGGTGGTGGAATTGACCGCATTGTAGTCTGGTTAGTGTTTTACTATACGGCTGTGAAATATAACATGAATTACTCATCAATGGCTAACTTATGGAGTTATACAGTCCTTAGTTTGTAGTTACCATAGAAGAGGAGAAACAAAGGGAACGATGGGCTGACCACTTCAAAAAACTCTTGAATCGAGCACCAAAAGTAGAAGTTTTGAACGCCATAAAGTTTCTGAAAGCTGGGAAAGCAGGAAGGCCAGATGGAATTCCTTCAGAAGCACTGAAAACAGACGCAGAGATACCAACGGACATACTCACACCACTATTACAGAAACTTAATAATGAGGGAAGGAAGGGAAAAATACCGATTGTCGAACTCTCAAAGAAAGTAGACCTGAGTCTTTACAAGAACTGGCGTGGAATCATGCTTGTGTCTACTCCGAGCAAAATATTAAGCCACATCATCATGGAGAGGCTGTGAAGTATTCTGAATTCAAAATTACGACCGGAACAGGCTGGATTCAGGAAGAACAAATCATGTATGGATCAAATTGCAACGCTACGCTACGCATCATTATTGAGCAGAGTAAAGAATGACAGTCAACTCTTTACCTTTGAAAAGGCCTTCGATCAAGGCGTCGACCGAGAAGTGATTTGGCAAGCAGCTGCTCCAATACCACGGTTTTAGTGCCACAAACCTTTATCAACCTCATTCAACAGCCATCTGGTATATGCTATATGCGAAGTGATTGACAATAGAATGATCAGTGATGCCTTTGAAGTGAAGTGAAGTGAAGACAGGGGACAGGAGTAAGAGAAGGTTACCACCTACTATCTATCACGACCGATGATCTTCGTGATTGTGGTCGACTGGACTGGGGTGGATCATGCAATAGACAACTGTGAGGAGCTGTGAGAAGATGGGCATACGCTCTCTGTTTGACCGATGTAAAGACCGTAGAAGATTTGGATTTCGTCGATGATGATTTATGTCTAGTGTCTTGTCGCACAAGCTGGAAGATGTACAGGCGAAAACTAACTTATAATGTTGGCAGAAGAGGCAGGGTAGTATATTGGCCAACTGTTGAATGATATCAATAGACGATTTGATCTAGTTGTTAGGTGTTTGGATAAGATGTCACAGAAACAATCATCAATTCTCGTTTAGGACTACCGAATTTGATGTTACCTTAGATGAACTTGTCTACATATTCATTTTCACTCTGAATACTATAGATACAGAGTAGTTGTTTCTGAATACATAAGGCGAGTACCTCTTTGGATAGAAGAGAATTTACTGGTGCACCAAAAACAATATTTCGCGTAGCTTGTCAGTGCCTTATGTTGCAGTAAGGCTGAAGTTTTCATTCATGTAGGACATTCTGAAAAATTATTCCTCCCGTGGGTTGAAGGGGAAGAGAGAGACAGAGTTGAGGAGGATATGTAATGTTTGATTTCTGTGGTGTATGCTACTGAAAGCATATAGACGGGTAGTTGACAGTTCCTGGCTGCTCACACCTTGGAAGGTGATCTTCTTCATAAAGCAGCATCAGCATAGTACTGCTGTCTTACCGCCGTCTAGCGAGTAGTATAACTCCGCCTTTGGGCCCTCGTCATAGTACAACGGTAACCGCTATCCAACACACTTTTATGGCATGATGAGACTTCGACGGAAAAACGGTTCCATCAAAATAGCTTGTTGAGTCACTGTGATGTAGAAACCGCACCATCTCGTTGAGGTAGCAGCTATCGGTTGAGACTTTCTGAATATTTTCCATTATTATTATTATTATTACCGTTGTTGTTGTCGTTATTATTATTATTATCATCATTATTATTGTTAGTCCATTGGGTTCCTAATGGAACATAGGGCTTCAGTAGCACGTCTCCAGCGCACTCTGTTCTCTGAAATCTTTTGAACCTGGCTCCACGACAGCCCACAACCTCCCATTTCTTCTTTACACGATTTGCTCCATGTCACCCTCAGCTGGGACGCCCAACTCGTCGTTTCTCATCTGGGTTCCACTCGAGTGACTGGCCTAGTGCGTGATGTCCCTGAATGGTCTTCTCAGTGTATGTCCAATCCGTCTCCACTTCCCTTTTCTGCATATTTGTTGAGTGATAGGTTCTTGGTACGTACGTTGCCAGAGTTCCTACTTGCTTATTCTTTCTCGCCTTCTCATCTGATCTTCACTATCGCGTACGCGCGCCAAGTCTCTGAGCCATACAGAAGCACCGACTTGACGTTGTTCCACATGCTGAGTGCAGAAGATCTCCACACTGGTTTCAGGCTGATGAACGCCTATCTTGCTTTTCCGATCCTGACTGGCTTTGACGTCCTCGTCTGTAATGCCTGCGGTTGAAACAGTGCTGCCCAGCCAGGTGGGTAAAAGAGGCTACTTCTGTTAAGTTTCTCCCGTTGATGGTGATTGGAGCTTGTTATTGTTGGTGGTGGTGTTGGTTGTGTATCTTCATCACCCCTGTCTTCTCTACGTTCACTTGAAGTTCCGTCTTCGCTGCCCTAGAGTCTTCTGTCAACTTGTTAGTTTTCGCCTGTAGATCTTCAAGTTTGTGTGACAAGACATTAGACACAAGTCATCGGCGGCGAAATCCAAATCTTCTAGCATGTTTTCCCCAGTCAAATAGTGAATCCCTCTCTTCTCGCTCCTCACGGTTTGCTGCATGATTCAGTCCACTACAATCAGGAAGATCATCGCGGAGAGTAGGCAGCCTTGTATTACTCCTTCCTGTCGTCACTTCAAAAGCATCACTGACCTTCCCATTGTGAATTATTTAGCATGTGGCGTCTTCATATAGTTGTTGAATGAAATTGATAAAGGTTTGTGATATTCCGTATTGTTGAAGCAGCTGCCTGCCAGTTTACTTCTCGATCGACTCTGTCCAAGGACTTTTGAAAGTCGATGAAGTTGAGGTAGAGAGTTGACTTCCATTCTATACTCTGTTCTAGAATATTTTCTATACTTTCAGTAATTGAACATAATGTTTTATTTATTGTTTATATATATCGGTATATAGGATTCAACAGTTTGGTATCACCAAGGTCCTGCAGGTCTTGCAGAAGCACGTCTATGGATAACTGAATTCTCATTGACTCGAGCTAAAGTACGCTTGGACAGAGCGAAAAATTATTTCACCAATGCTCCTGCTTCTCAACGTAAAGCTAAGCTACAAGAATATCATAAACTTCTACGAGTAAGTGATAAAACACTAATACTACATTGTTATTATGATTATTATTATTATTTTGTCGCACAAGCTGAAAGATCTACAGGCGAAAACTAACAAGTTGGCAGAAGAGGTGAGGCAGCGAAGATGTGAGGGTTTTCAGGTGAACGTAGAAAAGACAGAGGTGATGAAGATACGCAACCAACAACAACAACAACAACAAGAAGCATCAATCACTATAAACGAGAGAAATATAAATAAAGTTGTCTCTTTCACTTACCTATCTACCTGCCCGCCTACCTACCTACCCACCTACTTGCCTGCCTGCCTACCTATCTATCTATCTACACAACGACCTACCTACCTACTTACCTAGGCAGCATCGTTTCAACTACAGGTGGTGGTTGCTGCACAAATAAGGGTGTGAAAGCCAGGATCGGATCGACAACAAGACAGACCTTCTTTCATTAAATCTGAAATAATCAGTGTGTGGACATCTGCACTGCACCGCACTCAGCGTAAAGCGTGAATAAGATCTGGTCTTTCAATACTAATGTCAGTCAAGTCAGTGCTTGCTTCTATGTGATGGTTGCGAGACTTTGGTGCCTTATGAAAAGCATTTCCAACAAAGTGGAGATATACATGTACAGCTGCCACCCACGCTCCTTCCATACTGAAGATCAGATGGGTAGCCAGAAATAATAAGCAGCAAGGAACTCTGGGAACGAACCAACCAAGAACCTATCACTGAACCAATATGCAGAAGGAAAGAGTGGAGATGGATTGAATTGGACATACACTGAGAAGACTATTCGGGAACATCACGCTTTAGTCCAGGCAGTCGAGTGGAATCCGATGGAGAAAAGACGAGTTGGGCATCTGAGAGTGATATGGAGGAGGAGATGGTGTGAGGATGAAATGAAAGATTGTGGGCAGTCGTGGAGCCAGACTGGAGAGAAGAGAGTGAAGTGGTGATGTGCTACTGAATCCCTATGTTCCACTGGAAACCCCAAGGGATAATATTAATCACAACAATATTTATTGATGACATGATAATAAGGAGTAATGATTTATGCTCGAATCGTCATCATCAAGTAAACAATACTGTATCATTCACTGTGTGTTATAGATCAAATTTACAACTGTAATGTGATAGTGTTATTATTATTAGTAGTAGCACATCAATAGACTTGCATATTCTCCTATTAAATCAAATAAGAAGGAAGATGGACTTGGACTTGTTTGTCGTGAGTGGTACATACCGCTGAAGAGTCCCATTCTTGGACGAAACAGCTACTATCCAGTACTCCCGAATTTCCAGTTTGTTCATACATATATAGCTTGAGCTAATACAGTACAGAGAAGATGAAAAAAGCGCAATTTTCGGGGAATTTCTTTTCACTTTATAAATGATTTTCAACGTTGGATCAATTGTGTGATGTTATCACCATCAGTGTTGACAAGATGCAGAGTCTTCTGGACACTTTCAGTGGTAATTTGAGAATGTTTGGGATGTTTTTCTCACTACCGAAATGAAAATTGTTGCTCCACTATTGGTGTTCAACGGTGCCTCGGTTAACAATAGAGAGTGAGTGTGTCAACCAATTCACTTACCTGGGAAGTAGGCTCAACCCTGCCCCATGGCTCAGTGACCGATGAAATCTGTGCACGGCTAAGAAAGGCTTGGCTGGCTTTCGCACCGATACCATATCCGGTTGTCTATTAAGTGTCCCATGTACTGTACAACAGTCCTCTCTGTTCTAGTGTATGGCTGTGAAACATGGTCATTGAAGGTGGAAGATATGAGAAGGTCTCAGGTGTTTGATTACCAACGTCGCCTTCGTAGTGTGTGTATAGGCCATATTCCGTGGTATCACCACGTGAGTAACGCAGACGTCAGGTTTAGAGTTTTAGGGAGTGAAGGAGGGAGGAGAGGTAAGTCAGTTGACACGGTTGTGAACCTTCATCGACTGAGAAAGCTGGCTGGGACATGTGTTACGTAGGCCTAACGGTCGTCTGCCTCGTTACACAATGTTGGGCGAAGCAGGTTCAAAGACTCGAGGTGGCCAGATTGAAACATGGTATCAATGTATGAAATCCGCTAGGCAAGAGAAACCAGTAGTTGGAGAGTGACTCTAGTTAATATGGCTGAGGACCGATGTCATTGGTGCAGATATATCGCCACACACATTATCCTCATCTTAACGCTACACCGAATTCTCATTCTTCCTTTTCTCTTGTGGCAAAATTTTGTTTTCTTCGTCTTTCACTTGACTGTCTTACTTACTTGATGTAGTGATATGAGGTGTGCGAAGTTGGACCATTAGGTAGTAATTCGTGGTGCTATATTGACTTAGATAGATGGATGAAGGGATAAAGTTCTCCAGCCTATTTGGAAAGAACACGCATCGAACGATCTATATACCTAGCTCTACAAAAAATAAAACCATTAGGTCATAAGTTGGCTACGCATTTTGATTGGTTGGTTAGTTGAAGGACAAAATTACCCAGTAAGATTTCACACCGCCCACACAGTGATATAGATGAAACAAGGTTAGATTTTAAAACTTCTACCAATAGCAACTTTGATGACATAAAATGCTGATTTCTATTACGACTGTTTCCTATCATTATATGATTAAAACAATGAAGTATTCATCTTCTTTTTTTGTATAGAATACAAATTTAATGTGTAGTCAAGTTGGAGATGTTCGACCGTTAAGTATGTGTCGTTTTTCACCGAATGGTAAACAATTGGCCACATCATCTTGGAGTGGTTTATGTCGTTTATGGTCTATGCCAGATTGTAATTTAATGATGAATTTACGTGGACATACTGCACCTGCATGTTCTATTGCTTGGCATCCTCAAGCTGGTCTACAAGCGGAACAACAACTTGCACTAGCCAGTTCAGCTCAAGTAAGAGTTATTACTATTATTGTTACCTTTGTGTGTGTGTGTGTATGTGGCTTCTTTGTTTACCTTGTTTTTGCAGAGTTTTGTTGACAAGGAAGAAACGTATTTAGCCACCTTCTGTATAAGGAGTGAGTGATTTGACTACGTACCTGCCATTCACAATCAGTGTGTTTACAGTTGAGCTGTTTCTGCTCTTGATTGCGCTGGAAATCTTTCAGGAATGTCTTCACATGTATCTAACACTGTTGAGATTCACTTACCCTGTCTAACTTTTCTCTGAGGACCAGTTATATACAGTCTTGATTGGTGTTTTCATAATAAACTGGAGACGACATCCGACTTCTTCGAGATGAGTGACTTTATCCTGTTACGATAATTGTCTGACCAGTTCTTTCCTGAAGATAGATCATCAGAACTGTGGTCATTGTATGCGTAAGGAAAGATTACAAAAAGGTAGTAGGTTGTGTCGTTTAGAAATACCACTAGCAACGACAGAACTACAAGTGAACACAGGCCCTCCGACAAAGGCAGAAGTCCTTTAGAAGCACTTAAAAGCAGATGCAGAGACAACAGCGGAAATGCTCACATCACACCACTATTGCAGAAGGTTTGGAAGGAAGGAAGGAAAAAAAGGTACCTGCAGATTAGAAGGAAGGCTACCTTGCCAAACTCCCAAAGAAGGGAGACCTAAGCCTTTGCAAGAAGTGACGAGGAATCATGCTGCTGTCCACCCCAAGCAAAATATTAGGCTGCATCATCCTGGAAAGACTAAAGATGCTGTGGATTCAAAATTACGACTGGAACAAGCTGGTTGCCTTGTTGGCTTTGGGAAGAACAAATCATGCACGGATCAAATTGCGATGCTAAGTATCATCATAGAAAAAAGCCTTCGACAGCGTCGACCGAGAAGTAATTTGGCAGGCAGCTGCTTCAACACTACGGTTTTAGTGCCACAAACCTTTATCAACCTCATTCAACAGCTATATGACGACGCCACATGCCAAGTGATCCACAATGGGAAGCTCAGTGACGCCTTTGAAGTGAAGACAGGAAGGAGTAAGACAAGGCTGTCTACTATCACCGATGATCTTCCTTATTGTGGTCGACTGTATCAAGCAGCAAACCGTAAGGAGCGAGAAGATGAGAATACGCTGTCTGTTTGACAGATGAACAGAGGCTAGAAGATTTGGATTTCGCCTATGATGATTTTTGTCTAATGTGGCACATACTCGAAGATGTACAGGCGAAAACTAACAAGTTGGCAGTAGAGGTGAGGTGAGGCAGCAAAAACGGGACTTCAAGTGAATGTAGAGAAGACAGAGGTGATGAATATACCCAACCAACAACATGAACAACAAGCACTAATCACCATCAACGGGAGCAACCTAAAGGAAGTTGTCTCTTTGACCTACACAACTCTTTAGGCAGCATCGTTTCAACTACAGGCGGCATAGGCACAGATGAGGATGTCAAAACCGGAATCCGAAAAGCAAGACAGACTTTCATTAATCTGAAATCAGTGTGGAGATCTACTGCACTCAGCACAAAAAACAATATCCAGATTTTCAAGACCAAGGTCAAGTCAGTGCTTCTGTATGACTCAGAAACTTGGCGTGTCACGAAAAGCATTTCCAACAAACTACAGATATTCATCAACAACTGCCACCTACGCTGGCTCGATACTGAAGATCAGATCAGATGGCCAGAAAGAATAAGCGACAAAGAATTCTGGGAACGAACCAACCAAGAACCTATCACCCAACAACTATGCGGAAGAAGAAAGTGAAGATAGATTGGCCATACATTGAGAAGGTCGACTGGGGATATCACGCGCCACCAGGCCGTCGAGTGAAATCCAATGGGGAAACGACGAGTTGATCGTCGGAGGCGAGGTTGACATAGAGGAGGAGAAGGTGGTGTGAGGGAGAAATGAAAGGTTTTTGGCTGTCGTAGTGCGAGGTTGAAAAGACTGCAGAGAAGAGAGTGGAATGGAGATGTGCTACTGAAGCCCTATATTCCACTACGAACTCAAGGGAAAAATAATGATAGTGAAGTGCGTCAATTTATTGTGTATTCATACGTGCATCAACTTTAATAGGATGAATGAGTATACTGGATTGTAATCCATTCTCTCTTGTTATATGTCTTCGAGATATCCAACGGTGTTTTCGTTGTATTGCTCACGTTTAGTGGAATCATTGTGAAAGGAATGTTGAAGTTAAGCGAAGGATACCAGATTCAACAGATAAATTGATTGATAAGGTGTTGAACTTTTATTAACCGAAGTGATTTGGACAAGTATCTTGATATGCTACGCTAAAAAACGTTGCATAACATCGAAAGAAAGTATAGGATGGCTAGACCGAGATGTTATACCAGTCGATAAGGTATTCAACTTTTGATGGAAGTTGTGTTGCAAGCTGTAGACTGCCTCGCTGGATGCCTAGAGACGATAGGAATTAATGGTGGATATCGGTGATAATCGTCGTAAAATCTTAACCACCTTCACCCAAGTTTTGGTTAGCGTGGGTTTCTTATCCTATTTAACGTGACAGCTGTGTATAATCTCTGAAGCGAAGCTGAAAATATTTACATTACTCCTTTTTCTCCTTATAAGCCGCCTATTTCTTCTCTGTTACATACTTTCAGAAGTATGTTTGGCAGACACCCGGCCGCAGGTTGTATCGACCAAATATTCACACTACGCCAGGTCCTGGAACATAGGCACGCTTGCAGAGACGCCTGACAATAGCTATATTTCTCGACCTAAAGGCAGCATTTGACTCCGTTCATCCAGAAGTCTTATGGCAATGTCTCCCACTCTCCCCTCTCGTTGCCAGGTTACATAGACCGGATGCAGTTCTCACCACCCAAGTGCAAATTGTTGCTCCAGGACCTGTCTTCGATATTACCCCGACTAAGGATAGAGAGTGAAGTGGTTAGTAGCGAAATCTCTGCACGGATACAAAAGGTTAGGTTGGTTTTTGCCACCTTACCCCATCTGTTGTGCCGCCACGATATGTGAATTTTGATTAGATGGCGAGTGTACTGTGCTGCAGCCCACTCTGTTCTATTCTATGGATGTGAAACATGGCCATCGAAAGTGGAAGACATTAGAAGGCTTCAAGTGTTTTGACCACCGTTGCCTTCCTAGTGTATAGGCCGTATTTCGTGGTGTCACCACGTGAGTAACGCAGAAGTCATGAGTAGAGTTTTAGGGAGAAAAGGCAAGTGGGTTGACGAGGTTATGAACCTTCATCGATTGAAACGGTTGGGACACGTACTACATATGCCCAGTCACCGTCTACCTCGTCACACAATGTTGGCCGAAGTAGGTTCAGGTTGTAAAATGGCTCAAGATGGTCAGACTAACCGGTTGGGGTCCGCAGGATAAGAATCGATGTGAGTAGCGCAGATGTATCCCCCCCACACATTATCCTCATCTTAACCGCTATACTTAATCACATCATTTTCTCATTGCTCCTTCATCTCCCATTTTATCGCACTGTTACCTTGATGTGCTGACTGACATATGAGATGAGGTGCGTGGCAACTTGGATGGTTACGCAGTACTGCCTTGTCCGGTGTTGATGTTCATGATGAGTTACCCACCGATGTTAATGTTTTAACAAGGTGTAGACTGTATGGCAATAATTAGCACGAGACAATAGAAATAATGGTTGAAAACTGAGTCTAGATGAAATCCCCGACCGATGACTGCTACCTTGACGTGGCAGTCAGGCTTGCATATCACAATGACCCAATGAGCTATGCTGATAAAACGCTTGTTCCCTCGAGGTCCTACCATGCCACAAAGGTCTGTTAGACCTGGTAAGACGAAAAACAGTTACCATTGTGGTGTGAATTACTACACTATGATGAGAGTCTGAGGGCGAAGTCGTACTGCTGTTAGCTGGATGGGGTGTGACAGCAGTAAGGTGTTTCCATTGGATGACCAGCAATGCTATGCTGATGCCACTTTCTCAATGGAAGGGGGGAGGGGTTAGAAAAAGTCGGTACCAAAAATAACACACTCCACCATACCCCACGGTCTGCCAGGCCGGCGGTGTTGGTTCATTTGTCGTTTCTTTTTTGACCATCCGGCCCCCAAAATACAAAAGTTGAAAATAATCATACTCAAAAGGCTACATGTGACAGGCCTGAATCCTTCCACGGTGTGGGCAATCGGGAAGTGTCAACCACTTTTACCCCTTCAGGCTGTTATTGCAATTGGTCATGGCTGACATAATCGTTACACGGATAAGAAACGTTAGATTGGCCTTTGCCAATTCAAACCATGTTGTAGCACTGCCACGATATCCGATTGTCGATTAAGAAGGGTCAAGTGTATTGTGCTACAGTCCAGTCCGTTCTACTGTATAGCTGTGAGACATGACCATTAAAGGTGGAAGACATGAGAAGGCTTCAGGTGTTTGACCTACTGTTGCCATGTATCATGGTATCACTATGCTGTTGTGAACCTGAGACATGTGTTACGTATACCTAGTCACCGTCTACCTCGTCACACAATGTTAGTCGAAGTAGGTTCCGATTAGGAAAAGGGCTGGTAACGGTTAGACTTAAACATCGCATTACTGTTATTTCGAGCCATGTAAGGAGGGCGGTGCAAACTAGTCGGTTGGGGTTGGTGGGACAACAGAAACCGTTAGGTGAGAACCGATATCAGTAGCGCAGATGTGCTGCACTCCATCTTAGACGGTTTAATGAACTCTGGACTGAACTGATTTAGTTGTGCAAACACAACTAAATCTTGGAGTGAAAAGTGATCGGATATCGTGATTTGTGAATATTTTTTTGATGTAATCGGAATTCGCTTTTTGTGTTTCACTACTGGGAAGTGTTCTGATGGTGAACATTTCGCAGCTTTCTGTACCATGGAAGAAGGTACCTCAAAGAGGAAAGATTTATGTGATCACAGATCCTATAGGGATATCTTCTTGAGACCTGTGACACGCAACCTTTTGAGGATTGTTAGTGTGAGATGTGATTGTTCTAACGCTGAATAGAGGAAATTTATACCGGTAACACCAGAAGATTGTGGTATGTTTGGGGCTAACCTTTTTTTAACTCAACGCCGTTCTCTTACGGAGGCCAGCATTAGAGTGATGCTACTGATCATATAAGGGAAACACTACTCCAGTCAACAATACGATGTCATTCTCGGACCTCGACAGTATAAGCATCCCACCAGGATAGCTCGTTGCATCATTGAGATGTACAAGTCAGACCACTATGTCGAAGATGCAACTATTGACCCGCTCGAAATTCACTGAGCAGTAGATAATGAGCTAATGACCCCATCTGGCTGGTTTAACAAACAAAACTGGAAACTACAGATGATAACATCCGCCAATGCTCTACCTTCAGTAGGGTTGGATTTCTAAAGGAGATTTCAGCGTTACTCTGATCCATGATGTTGTTTACTCTAAGTTATGAATAGTTTAATAACATTATCATTTAACTATCTGAGATAGCAGCCATAGTATTACTGATACTGCAAAATGATTGAAGGTGAAATGAAAATTTCAACCGCTGCCGGATTCGAACCAGAGACCATGAATTCATATGGTAGTTGTCGGGTAAAACCCACGCTTGTGATTGAAGTGGAGAAAAAATCGAGTCAGCAGTGGTTGGATATTGTAGCTCAGTTGGTAAATCATTGGACCGGTAACTCGTTGGTCGCTAGTTCCAATCCGGTCGCGGTTGAAATGGCCATTCCACCTTCAATAATCATCTAGTATTAATTATGTAATGGTGAACTTATATTCAAGTTGGGTGAAAAATCCGTGAATTTTTTATATTATATTATTATTTGTCCCTTGGGTTCCTAATGGAACATAGGGCTTCAGTAGCACGTCTCCAGCGTACTCTGTTCTCTGAAATCTTTTGAACCTGGCTCCACGACAGCCCACAACCTCTCATTTCTTCTTTACACGATCTGCTCCATGTCACCCTCAGCTGGGACGCCCAACTCGTCGTTTCTCATCTGGGTTCCACTCGAGTGACTGGCCTAGTGCGTGATGTCCCTGAATGGTCTTCTCAGTGTATGTCCAATCCGTCTTCACTTCCTTTTTCTCCATATTTGTTGAGCGATAGGTTCTTGGTTGGTTCGTTGTGGCCAGAGTTCCTACTTGCTTATTCTTTCTCGCCTTCTCATCTGATCATCAGTAACGAGCCAGCGTAGGCGGCGGTTGTTGATGAATGTGTGTAGTTTGTTGGAAATCCCTTTCGTAACGCGCCAAGTTCTGAACCATCACATAGAATCACTGACTTCACATTGGTGTTGAAAATCCGGATGTTGTTCACGCTTTATGCTGAGTGCAGTGCAGAAGATCTCCACACTGGTTTCAGGCTGATGAACGCCTATCTTGCTTTTCTGATCCTGACTGGCTTTGAAAACTTACGTAATGGTTGAAAAAAAGTCCATACATGAACTTGATTTTTTGCATTCATACGTATGGTTTCGGTTATGGGGGATTAGATGCATAGTCGTGAACCTTTTAGAGATTGTAAAGGACGTGATATACCTCTGGAAATGCGTGATGTATCTCGATCTGATGTTCTTTATCTATTACATGTAAGAGGAACCGTACTGTTGATGGCTTAAAATGTCAACATTGTTCAGTGTCTTACTGCGCTGACTTACACTTACAGAATTAGCAAAGAAGGTTGAATTTTTCAAGTAATCGGTGTCAACATTCAAACTCTTCTCTCATATGATAGACAAATCAACTGTAGAACCTCATAGCGTTATGTGCAAACACATAAAGGAGTGGGAATTTGAAAATCTTTATCGTATAGTGAATTAATCTTAGACATTGTAACCGATTTCATCTAGCAGTTCGAAGAAACCTAAGTACTGATCAAGATGTGAGGGTGGTTGACACTTCCCGATTGCCCACACCGTGGAAGGATTCAGGCCTGTCACATGTAGCCTTTTGAGTATGATTATTTTCAACTTTTGTATTTTGGGGGCCGGATGGTCAAAAAAGAAACGACAAATGAACCAACACCGCCGGCTGGCAGACCGTGGGGTATGGTGGAGTGTGTTATTTTTGGTACCGACTTTTTCTAACCCCTCCCCCCTTCCATTGAGAAAGTGGCATCAGCATAGCATTGCTGTCATCCAATGGAAACACCTTACTGCTGTCACACCCCATCCAGCTAACAGCAGTACGACTTCGCCCTCAGACTCTCATCATAGTGTAGTAATTCACACCACAATGGTAACTGTTTTTCGTCTTACCGTGGTCTAACAGACCTTTGTGGCATGGTAGGACCTCGAGGGAACAAGCGTTTTATCAGCATAGCTCGTTGGGTCATTGTGATATGCAAGCCTGACTGCCACGTCAAGGTAGCAGTCATCGGTCGGGGATTTCATCTAGACTCAGTTTTCAACCATTATTTCTATTGTCTCGTGCTAATTATTGCCATACAGTCTACACCTTGTTAAAACATTAACATCGGTGGGTAACTCATCATGAACATCAACACCGGACAAGGCAGTACTGCGTAACCATCCAAGTTGCCACGCACCTCATCTCATATGTCAGTCAGCACATCAAGGTAACAGTGCGATAAAATGGGAGATGAAGGAGCAATGAGAAAATGATGTGATTAAGTATAGCGGTTAAGATGAGGATAATGTGTGGGGGGGATACATCTGCGCTACTCACATCGATTCTTATCCTGCGGACCCCAACCGGTTAGTCTGACCGTCTTGAGCCATTTTACAACCTGAACCTACTTCGGCCAACATTGTGTGACGAGGTAGACGGTGACTGGGCATATGTAGTACGTGTCCCAACCGTTTCAATCGATGAAGGTTCATAACCTCGTCAACCCACTTGCCTTTTCTCCCTAAAACTCTACTCATGACTTCTGCGTTACTCACGTGGTGACACCACGAAATACGGCCTATACACTAGGAAGGCAACGGTGGTCAAACACTTGAAGCCTTCTAATGTCTTCCACTTTCGATGGCCATGTTTCACATCCATAGAATAGAACAGAGTGGGCTGCAGCACAGTACACTCGCCATCTAATCAAAATTCACATATCGTGGCGGCACAACAGATGGGGTAAGGTGGCAAAAACCAACCTAACCTTTTGTATCCGTGCAGAGATTTCGCTACTAACCACTTCACTCTCTATCCTTAGTCGGGGTAATATCGAAGACAGGTCCTGGAGCAACAATTTGCACTTGGGTGGTGAGAACTGCATCCGGTCTATGTAACCTGGCAACGAGAGGGGGACCCCATAAGAATATCTATGATAAAATTGAATAAGAATGGGACAGTGGGGCACCCTTGACGGACACCACTCGATGAGCATAGCTCCCTGAACATCTCACCATAGGCTCTAACATGCATGCCCACAAGTATTCGAGTAGAGAGCTTTCAATAACGTGATGTACTTACTCGGCACGCCTTTCAGTGGGAGACATTGCCATAAGACTTCTGGATGAACGGAGTCAAATGCTGCCTTTAGGTCGAGAAATATAGCTATTGTCAGGCGTCTCTGCAAGCGTGCCTATGTTCCAGGACCTGGCGTAGTGTGAATATTTAGTGGAGACTTCTGCGGCCAGATGTGAACTCTGCTTGGTTTTTTCGGGCTTGTTGTCCCTGAGCTTTACTGAGGCGCCGAAGAGTTATGGAACTGAGACACCTATGTTCGTCGTGCTGATTCGTCTGTGGTTTTTCAAAAGGACTTCTCGTCTTTCTTGGAGGCCTGAATAATCATTGATTTAGACCATTCAGAGTGGATGGTATTTGATTCCCATATAGTAGTTAGCCTGAATAACAGCACCTTACCAGCATCCTTGTATACTTCAGGAGGTAGTCCGTCTGGTCGTGCTGCCCTTCCCCGTTTCAGGTTACCTACCGCTTTTTCAAGTTCTAGTGTTGAGGGGCCTATCTCGACGTTTTATTGAGGATCCGACTGGATAGTGGGCAATACAGTGGTGGCTGGAGGCCAGTTAAACTGTTCTTCGAAGTGTTCCACTCATCGTTCCAGTCGTCTCTCCTGTGAACGAATTGTAGATCCATCCTTCTTCGCTATAGTCTCCCTAACCGTAATCAACCTTTTCTCCTCAATTTCCTTTATAAGTCTAAATAACTGTCTACTGTTACCAAAGGCTATCTAATAGACTGTTAGCTAGCTGTTTCCTGATAGGCTCAACTAATTGTACAATCTACGGTATTAGAAGTTTCCCGGTGGATAGTTGCTGTCTAACCCTAACCAGTTTAGATGAGTATAGTCTAAGTAATTGAGGAGCTTCATGATTATTTTAAAGTGACTAAGTATCATGAATGAATAGTTTTCTCTTCCCTATTTTTCTTTTAGGATGGTAGTGTTAAACTATGGAGTTTAGATAGTGAAGAACCATTAGCCGATATTGAAGGGCATTCACCGTATAGAGTATCACGTTTAGCATTTCATCCATCTGGACGTTTTTTAGCTACTACATGCTTTGATCATTCATGGCGTTTATGGGATTTAGAAGTATGTGAAGAAATATTACATCAAGAAGGCCATTCAAAACCAGTTTATGATATTGTTTTTCATCCAGATGGTTCTTTAGCTTTAACTACTGGATTAGATGGTTATGCACGTATATGGGATTTACGAACTGGACGATGTATTATGTTTTTAGAAGGTCATCTTGAAGAGCTATTAGGTGCTGATATAGCTGATAATGGTTATCATGCAGCTACTTCAAGTGCAGATAATACAGTACGTATTTGGGATTTACGTCAACAACAAGCAATCTACGTTATAGCTGCGCATACAAGTGTTGTAAGCAGTGTACGATTTGAATGTAAGTTAATTATATTTCTTTCTAATGTACATATATGTATATTGATGAGTATTGTTTATTGGGTCTTTGCAAGCACTGGCGAGGAATCATGCTCCTGTCCACCCCAAGCAAAATATTAAACCGCATCATCCTGAAGAGACTAAAGGATGCGATGGATTCAGACCGAATTGCAACGTTTCGCATCATCATAGAACAGAGCGTAGAATGGCAGTCAACTCCCTACCTCAACTTCATCGACTTTCAAAAGTCCTTGGACAGAGTCGATCGAGAAGTAGTTTCGCAGGCAGCTGCTTCAACACTACGGAATACCACAAACCTTTATCAATCTCATTCAACAACAATATGAAGACGCCACATGCTGAATAATTCACAATGGGAAGGTCAGTGATGCTCTTCAACTGAAGACAGGAGTGAAACAAGGCTATCTACTATCACCCATGATATTCCTGATTGTAGTGGACCGGATCATGCAACAAACCACTGTCGGGAGAGAGAAAAGGGGGATACACTGCACTGCGGAAAAGAACTTAGAAGATTTGGATTTTGCCAATGACTTGTGTCTAGTGTCATACAAACTTGAAGATCTACAGGCGAAAACTAACGAGTTGACAGGAAAGGCAGGGCAGCAAAGGAAATCGGGACTTCAAGTGAACATAGAGAAGATAGAGGTGATGAAGATACCCAACTAACAATAACAAAAAACACCAATCTCCATCAACGGGAGGAACCAAAAGTAGCCTCTTTCACCTACCTGCCCAGGCAGCATCGTTTCAACTATAAGCGGCGGCACACACGAGGACGTCAAGCCAGTCAGGATCAGAAAAGCAAGATAGGCGTTCATCAGCCTGAAACCAGTGTGGAGATCTTCTGCACTGCACTCAGCATAAAGCGTGAACAACATCCGGATTTTCAACACCAATGTGAAGTCAGTGATTCTATGTGATGGTTCAGGTATCTCATGTGTCCACCAGGAACGTAACAGTGAAATAGTTGAACATGGCAGAAAATCGATTTGAACTGTATCGCCTCGAAGTCCAAGTTACTAGGACCGCCTTTGATCCTTCTCTAGCTATTATTGTGCGGCTGATGAAGGTTTACAACTAAATAATTCAACAAAAGGAATTGTAGCACAATTAACCCAATACACAATTATTATCATTCATCCCTTGGGTTCCTAATGGAACATAGGGCTTCAGTAGCACGCCTCCAGCGCACTCTGTTCTCTGAAATCTTTTGAACCTGGCTCCACGACAGCCCACAACCTCTCATTTCTTCTTTACACGATCTGCTCCATGTCACCCTCAGCTGGGACGCCCAACTCGTCGTTTCTCATCTGGGTTCCACTCGAGTGACTGGCCTAGTGCGTGATGTCCCTGAATGGTCTTCTCAGTGTATGTCCAATCCGTCTCCACTTCCTTTTTCTCCATATTTGTTGAGCGATAGGTTCTTGGTTGGTTCGTTGTCTGGCCAGAGTTCCTACTTGCTTATTCTTTCTCGCCTTCTCATCTGATCATCAGTAACGAGCCGGCGTAGGCGGCGGTTGTTGATGAATGTGTGTAGTTTGTTGGAAATCCCTTTCGTAACGCGCCAAGTTCCTGAACCATCACATAGAATCACTGACTTCACATTGGTGTTGAAAATCCGGATGTTGTTCACGCTTTATGCTGAGTGCAGTGCAGAAGATCTCCACACTGGTTTCAGGCTGATGAACGCCTATCTTGCTTTTCCGATCCTGACTGGCTTTGACGTCCTCGTGTATGCCGCCGCTTATAGTTGAAACGATGCTGCCTGGGCAGGTAGGTGAAAGAGGCTACTTTAAGTTTCTCCCATTGATGGAGATTGGTGCTTTTGTTATTGTTGGTTGGGTATCTTCATCACCTCTGTCTTCTCTACGTTCACTACTCATTGTAGTGTTATACAGTTTTTTCACACATAGCTAAGCTGTCACTTACCTTCACGTGTGATATAAGCCGAGATGGGATGATTGGGTTGTCGGTGACTTGACACTGATAGCTGGATGTATTTGATTGCGTTGAATACTTACTGATAACTGATTTGTCAAGGTAATAACCAATCAGCTGCCAGACATGCTGAACTTGTAATTCCCATGTGTTGTCTTTGTGCTTCATTGTTACGTAAACTCGTATGTGACTTTTCTGGCTTATATTAATATCCAGGACAACTTATTACGTTATAGAAATGAAGATAATTTCCCAACATAGTACGTCTCTCTCAGTTGCCTGCTTATTGATAGAAGTCTCAACCATTTGGACCGCAAATCCGAACCCCTTTCCAGTGATTGCAAGTTTTTTTTATTTATCAAAGCACTGGAGCTGTTTAAGTTCACCGATACAAGTACGTAGGCCTCATTGGCTGCTTCTAACTTTTTAGGAATTGTTGCGCGTTCTGGACTGTTAGGGTTGTTCTTGATGTAATTACTTGCCTCTGTAGGTCAAGTGATTAACAATTATCCATTAGAGTAAATCCATTTTGAAGTGGTATATTCTCACTTCTGTATTCACCATAGATTTCGTCGAACAAATCGTCTACAATACATTATATGAGAGCTACTTCATCCTAGCATGGAACTCCTCAGCAATACGCACCTATCAGAGGTTGAATTTCAGGACTTGTGTACTGCTAAGGAGTTCCCTACTGGGACGAAATAGCCGTTGTCCAGTCTTTGCAAGTTTCCAATGTGCTTTGTATTATATTGTGTTTTCTTTTTCACAGCTCGTAACTGCAACTACCTTGTTACCAGTTCATTTGACAAGACAACTAAACTATGGGGTCATCCTATTTGGGCGCCTATTAAAACACTTGAAGGACATAACAGTAAAGTTGTTTATGCAGATATTTCACCGGATAATAAATACATTGCAACCTGTTCTCATGATTTAACCTACAAGTTATGGAGTCGAGAAATAGACTAGATATTTGTTACAAACACTTTCATTACCTGTTAAGTGATTATTTTTTCGATGAATATATATATATATATATATATATATATATATATATATATATATTATTATTATTATTATTATTATTATTATTTTCCCTTGGGTTCCTTCCTAGTGGAACTAAGGGCTTCAGCAGCCCGTCTTCATTCCACTCTGTTCTCTGAAATCTTTTAAACCTGGCCCCATGACAGCCCACAAGCTTTCATTCCTTCCTAACACGATTTTCTCCATGTCACCCTCACCTCGGACGACCAACTCGCCGTTTCGAGTCTGGGTTCGACTCGACTGGCGCGTGATGTGCCCAAATGACCTTCTCGGTACATACCCAATCCATCTCCACCTTCTTCTACTTCTTTTTTTGCGTGACAAGTTCCTGGTTGGTTCGTTGCCAGCCACAATTCCTTGTCGCTTATTCTTATTATTCTGAATTCATCAGGTAATCGAATAATTTGATCATATTCACCTTCTCGATGGCAGACATGCGTCTCCACAATGTTATAAGAAAGAGATGCAGCTCTCATTAGAGATCATGCCACACCACCTCTCGAGACTAGAAAGTTAGATTCCCTCACCATCCGGCTGCATCTGACGATCAGCTCACCCACTCGTGCTTTTCAGATCCGCCCATATAGATCTCTTCGACTATCAAGTCAACCATGACGGTGTATTGGTTGGAATCCCAAGAGGTAACAACGGGGACCGACCATCATTGGATAACATCACCGGTGTCAGCAGCTCAAACACCTACACTCCTGGCAAACAACTACTCCAAAACATCGGGTTATATTGGAAGAGAGTCGTAGTTACTTCCCTCAAGCTAAAGCTCCGGGTATCCATAATATACGCCCGACGGAATTTGGTGGATTGAGCATCACAGTTACCAAGTGATATAGAATATCCCGTGCATAGTAGCCTGGATAGTACAGCTAAAGAAATCCACCTAACACACCTGGTAACCGAATGGACACTACTGGAGAGGGGCTTAGCATAACTGGCGCTAATTTTAACTTTAATACTTGCATATCAAGATTCTCAGCCAACAATTCAAAGAAGAAAAAGAACCATTTGACCAAAAAGTAATTTAGATCATAGAAAAGAAAATTGCATCTGTAGATCACCACCACCACCACTCCCTTATATATAGAGGGAGGGAGGGGGGGAGAGAATATGGGATCACTAACACAATAATAATCGTAATAATAATGATACGAAGGTAATTACAAAAAAGAAAACAAACAGAAACAGATGTGAATAAACAAATACATAAAACAACAAAATGCACTTCCAAAAGATAACTGGAAGAACAATGAAATGAAACTGCAGAACATTAGCATACACAAACATGTAATACTGTCGTCAAGATTGAAGTAGTCTCCTTACCTTCTCTCCCCCTCCCCCCGTCTCTGTGTGTGTGTAAACAGATTAGGGGGTAGGGTTGGACGGGAGTTCATCAACGCACACACACGGCACCTCACATTCATAAACACCACAATTGCACAGAGATGAAGCAAAATTTACATTCATAAATGAAACTTTTAGAATAATAAAAATAGGGATTTGTCACTGATGATAATAATAATACTGTAAGAAGAGATTTAATGTTTATTTATAAGCAGTGATAAACTCAATTGAATGATGAATTACAAATGTTAAACAAACAAATCGCTTTTGCACAATAAACAGGGTGGGTAGGTGGGCAATGACAAACCTTTTTTTTAGGCTTGAAATAAACAAACACCACCTTTACAAAACATACGAAATAGGTAAAGGTAAAACAAGATCAATAGTAGGTAGAATCGGGTAAAAGGGGTGCATTATTTCTCAATAAATAACATGTATTACTGCTATTTAGAACACAAACACAGAGGGTGGATGGGTAGGCTTACGATGAACAAACACACCACCCTTGCAAAAATCAATAGTAGGTGGAGTTAGATAAAGGGGTCGCACTATGTGTACTACTGCTAACTGGAACACACACAGAGGGTGGGTGGGTAGGCTTAAAATAAACAAACACCACTCTTACAAAACATACCAAATAGGTAAAGGTAAAATAAGATCAATGGTAGGTGAGGTCAGATAAAAGGGGCGCGCTATATGTACTACTGCTAACTGGAACACACATACAGAGAAGGAAATAACACACAAAAATCATATTGCAAAAAGAGAAATTAGTTCAATATCAAATCAGATGGGGTCATGGATTAAGGCCGAGAAGGAGATTCGCTGTGTGTTAAGCGAATTCGACTAGAATACAACTTGAGACACTGAAGGCAATAAATCCTTCATCAATCTGAGTCATATATACAATTAAAAGGCTAACATTGTTTCACGAAAAGAACAAACAACACAATCGACAGACATTTGTTTCCATTCTAATTCGTTTCAACTAGAAGGGTGTATTGGACTGTTAGAATCTACACTGACAATATCTGTTGAACTGGTACCACTTGAGTCTAGATTTAGACAACCGGATTGTCTTCGAAAATTTTGTATTTGACTAATTCCCAATAATAATCTTGCTGCATCATCAGTCGTTGTTTGTTCACTGGCCCAAAGATAAGAAAAGAAAAAGAGACATAAGTTTAATGAAGAATCTGTTTTTTACTGAAAACGAGACAGTACTATTGAATCGCCAATCATAGATGAATTAGTGAATATATGCTAGAGAGATAGAAACTTTTGTCGGTGAATTTCTATCTCGACTTAGTGATTCAGTGGCTAACATAAAATCTTTGCACGAAGAGAAAAGGTTCGGGTGCCTTTTCGCAACTCACACCACCCTATGGCACCGTCACCATATTCGATAGTCTATTGAAGGTCACGTGCACTACACAGCAATTCACTCTGTTCTGATCTATGCTTACGCAACATGGCCACTGAAGGTGGAAGACATGAGAAAGGCTCAGATTTTTGACCACCACCGCCTTTCTAGTTGTATAGGTCGTATTCTGTGGTATCACCATGTGAGTAACGCAGAAATCTGGTGTAGACTTTTAGGGAAGGAGAGAGAGAAAGGTAAGTCAGTTGACACGTTTGTGAACCTTCATCGACTGGAATGGTTGGGACACGTGTTACGGTATGCCTAGCGGCCGTCTGCCTCGTCACACAATGTTGACCGAAGTGTAGGTTCAGACCGGTCTCAGGCTCGAGGCGACTAGACTAAAACATGAGGTGCATGTATGAAATGGTTGACTTTTGGTTGGAGCCATGTGAGGCGATGCAGACTGGGTGTGCTTGGGGTTCCCCAGACAACAGGAACCAAGGGTTGGAGACTTACACTAGCTGATGATATGCCTGACAACCGATGTCAGTGGTGCAGATCTATCTATCTCCACACATTATCCTCATCTTAACGCTACACCGAATCTCACTATTTTCTCATTCTCCCTTTTTTGCTACCTCTATATTTCTTTTCACTGAATTTTCTCCTTTATCTTCCACTTCACTGCCCATTTACTCGACGTACTGATATCAGGTGTGGTAACTCGCACCGTTAAGCACTAATGCCTAGTCCTATGTGTTGATTTGGATAGATGGATAGACCTGGTCCTTTCTCTACGATAGTCAGCGTAGGAGGACTGTCAGGCGAAACAAAACTACCAAATCTAGTGGCCATGAGGACAAATCGTCAACGATAACATCAGGTGATGGTCGCACTGTGTCCTGCCTCAACTGACACGAGTTGGAAATATGCACCATGCGATTCCACCAACCCACAACCAGTGCCTACCTCAATGACAACATGCTGGCTACGAAACCTTGTTACTTGAGACTACTGACAAAAACCTCAGATCTGTTTTCTACTATTTTTTTTCAATTCGAGACACTTAGATTGAAGCAGGTCGTTTTAGTTTAGAGGCAGTCACACTCCGTGGAATTCATAATCTAAAGCCCCATCTACATGACAATAAAATACAACATTAGAGCTGCTTTCCCTATGGTTGCCAGGGTCACCAAAATACTTGCGGGAAGCCATTCATTGTGTTTCGGATTTCCCAATCCCTCCCCTACTCTCCGCTGTTACGTAGAACCTCCGGGAGCATCAAAAAATGTACTGACTGGATATCTTAAGTGTTTCAACCACTCAACAATACCAAGACATGATCTGAATGCTAGGCTTGTTGTCTAGAGTTACACAGAGGTGTGGGGTTATTTTGGTGAACAGACATTTGTAACTCGTCACTTCAGGGTTTTTTCACACTGAGGTAGTGATCATTGTTGCGCTTACCTTAAAGTTTAGCAGATAAAAGCCGTAGGAGATAGTTAAGCTCCTGAATATAAAATTAATCAGAAGTTGTGCTGTATCATTTCAAAACTGGACACCAGTTTTACTTGTTGATTTTTTTTATACGCTAATGTACGGTTATAAACATTGCTGACAGACAATCTCAACGTAGAACCTCGTAGTACACAGGTGTTCATAACCTTTATAAAATGTCAAGAGCAGTGAATACATCACCGATTTCCCCTCAAACTAATTCCTATTGTGTCAAGGATCTCAGTTAGGTAGAGTGCAGCACAACTCCCAAATCTTTTTTTTTTCAATCTAATTCAACTTTCGAGACAGGCAGTGACTTGGTATACGCAAGCGATCTCATAACATTGTTCAACACGATAATTCCATTAAATGTGAACAACTTTAACCAAGAAGAAATGAAGGGGACTATAAGATGATCGAGAAAACTATGCAGATGCAGAGTATTCTGGACACTTTGAGTAGCAACTTGGGAATCTTTGGGATGCGGTTCTCACTATACAAATGCAAATTTTCGCTCCAGGGTTGGTCTTCATTGGTGCCACCGCTAACAATAGAGAGTGAGTGTAGTGGTTGAGTGTGTCGACCACTTCACTTACGTGGGAGGTAAGATCAGCCCTGATTGCTCAGTGGCCGGTGAAATCCCTGCACCGATACAGAAGGTTCGATTGGCTTTCGCCAATTTACGCCGCCACCATATCCGATTGTCTATTAAGGGTCGCGTGTACTGCACAACAGTCCGCTCTGTCCTACTGTATGGCTGTGAAACATGGCCATCGAAGGTTGAAGACATGAGAAGGCTTCAGGTGTTTGACCACCCTTGCCTTCTTAGTGTATAGGCCGTATTCCGTGGTGTCACCACGTGAGTAATGCAGAAGTCAGGAGTAGAGGTAGATCAGCTGACGAGGTTGTGAACCTTCATCGACTCAGATGGTTGGCTGGGATACGTACTACGTATGCCTAGTCACCGATTGCCTCGTTACACAATGCTGGCTGAAGTAGGTTCAGGCTGGAAAAAAGCCCGAAGTGGCCAGACTGAAACATGGCACTAATGCATAAAGTCTCTGACTGTTGGTTTGAGCCATGTGGGGTAATGCAGACTAGGTGGTTGGGATCCGTGGGAGAAGTGAAAACAGTGGTTGGAGAGTGACTGTAGGTGATATGGCTGAGAACCGATGTCAGTGGCGCAGAAGTATCCGCACACACATTATCCTCATCTCAACGAATCGCACCATTTAAAAATTAAAACAGACATTTTCAAGATATGTAATATCAACTCACTTGTTGTTGTTTTGTAATGGTTCTTCAATTGTCTTATCATCATCATCATCTAATTCTTCTTTTGAAGTTATCTGGTCATGTTCTTCAAGTGAAGTGTTATAACTATTAGCGGTTACTGTAACCGACTGATTCGACCATTTTTTTTTAGAATCCCAAACCCTATCAGCATCATCTTCATTATTCATACTAAAACTCGATCTTTCATTCTTTATTTGATCATGTTTACTTGGCTTATGTATTCCTGAGGTTGTGTACACACGGTCTTCTTCTTCGACTTCTTGATCATCTGAACTAGTATAGTCACCATCGTAAGTGTTCTTCTCATCATCATCATCATCATGAATACCAGGTGACCAACAACGATCGAAATTACCTGAATTATATTGTGAATCAATAGTTGATTGGTGTGATCGTTTCAATGATCTAGAATAATCACTATGCTTATGATAATATCGGTGGAAGTGATGATGATTACGAATGTTAACCACATTTTCTGAATCAATATCAGATTGATTATCAATAATTAGGTGATGAGAATTATGATTATAATCCAATTGTGTTTCATTTCTGATAGGCAATATTATTTCATAGGATTCATTATCTTCATCATATATATCAACTTTCTCAAAATCATCATCATATGGACGACGAGGTGCACGTATAGTTCGTTTTGATCTTCGAATAGGATTATTATTATTATTATTATTTAATGAAGTAGATAATTTCATTGATTTAACAACACGTCTACGTCGTTTAACGCCACCACCACGTGATACAATTCTAGAATGTGTCCCCCTTCTCTTCATATGAACATTAAGATATCGAGAATGTGAATGTTCATGTGGTTGATAATTTCGTTTTGCCAAAGTATAATCACAATCTTCACATAGTTCTGAATTACTAGAATGTTTCATTATTTCATAATTCTTTTCTTCTTCATCATCTTCACTGTATATATCATGTTCTGATGAACTGAACCCATCATCATTATCGAATTCATCTGTTTCATAGCCAATAATATTTATATCCAATAGAATTGAATCAATAAATGCTTTAAGTATTGGATAAAGTTTCATTAATTCTGTAAGTTTTTTAGTGAAATAATCATCATTATATTGATTAACAAGTTGATTTTCATCTGGACGACGTAATTGTGCTTGACAATGAGAATATTCATGATCAATATATGGTGGTGGTGTAACATAAACTTCATTTGTTAATGAATAAATTGTCGGTTTAATATTATTATTATTATTATTATTATTATTATTATTATTATTATTATTATTATTAGTTTCATCAATTGGGATAAGTTTAGATCCAGTTTTATGAAGTGGTCCACCTGCAGGACCAGATTCTTGATCACAATCAAGCATATTACTTATATCAAGATTATATTCTTGTAGGGTAGAACGTAGATAATTACCATTGTAAACTTCTAAACGTTTAGCAAGGCATGATTCACAACCAGATACATTCTCTTTACATTCATTACATTTATCTGTTGAAAATAACAACAAAAAGAGAACAAAACGTATTCTCAAGTTAACATTTATAACTATTATGATAGAGACAGATAAACGACATAAACGTAGAACCAGGTATATAGGCGGATTGGGTCACATAAGTACATACAAACAACATATGGATAGGAAGAGAGTGATAGTGAAGGTGTTTAACGGGAACACATAAAGGACACTAATCAAGCAGCCAAGATCAGCCAATAGGGTTGCGTGTAGGTGAAAGACATAAAGAGGCTTCAAGTGTTTAACCATCACCGCCTTTCTAGTTGTATAAGTCGTATTCTGTGGTATCACCATGTGAGTAACGCAGAAATCTGGTGTAGACTTTTAGGGAAGGAGAGAGGGAAAGGTAAGTCAGTTGACACGTTTGTGAACCTTCATCGACTGGAATGGTTGGCACACGTGTTACGGTATGCCTAGCGGCCGTCTGCCTCGTCACACAATGTTGACCGAAGTGTAGGTTCAGACCGGTCTCAGGCTCGAGGCGACTAGACTAAAACATGAGGTGCATGTATGAAATGGTTGACTTTTGGTTGGAGCCATGTGAGGCGATGCAGACTGGGTGTGCTGGGGTTCCCCAGACAACAGGAACCAAGGGTTGGAGACTTACACTAGCTGATGATATGCCTGACAACCGATGTCAGTGGTGCAGATCTATCTATCTCCACACATTATCCTCATCTTAACGCTACACCGAATCTCACTATTTTATCATTCTCCCTTTTTTGGTACCTCTATATTTCTTTTCACTGAATTTTCTCCTTTATCTTCCACTTCACTGCCCATTTACTCGACGTACTGATATCAGGTGTGGTAACTCGCACCGTTAAGCACTAATGCCTAGTCCTATGTGTTGATTTGGATAGATGGATAGACCTGGTCCTTTCTCTACGATAGTCAGCGTAGGAGGACTGTCAGGCGAAACAAAACTACCAAATCTAGTGGCCATGAGGACAAATCGTCAACGATAACATCAGGTGATGGTCGCACTGTGTCCTGCCTCAACTGACACGAGTTGGAAATATGCACCATGCGATTCCACCAACCCACAACCAGTGCCTACCTCAATGACAACATGCTGGCTACGAAACCTTGTTACTTGAGACTACTGACAAAAACCTCAGATCTGTTTTCTACTATTTTTTTTCAATTCGAGACACTTAGATTGAAGCAGGTCGTTTTAGTTTAGAGGCAGTCACACTCCGTGGAATTCATAATCTAAAGCCCCATCTACATGACAATAAAATACAACATTAGAGCTGCTTTCCCTATGGTTGCCAGGGTCACCAAAATACTTGCGGGAAGCCATTCATTGTGTTTCGGATTTCCCAATCCCTCCCCTACTCTCCGCTGTTACGTAGAACCTCCGGGAGCATCAAAAAATGTACTGACTGGATATCTTAAGTGTTTCAACCACTCAACAATACCAAGACATGATCTGAATGCTAGGCTTGTTGTCTAGAGTTACACAGGAGGTGTGGGGTTATTTTGGTGAACAGACATTTGTAACTCACACTCCGGGGAATTCACAAAATAAAACAAAGAGAAAGTACAAAAGATATTCTCAAGTTAAGATTTATAACCACAAGAAGAGACAGACGAAATGAACGTAAAACTTCGTATACAGGTGGATTGGATCAAGTTGCCATATTTCACGGAAGTACACAAACAACACATGGATAGGAAGAGAGTTTAAGGGGAATAAGCAATTTGAGTATAAACGTTGAGTACGAATATTCAACTCCAATGAACCACTAATTCCGATCGTCTAGGGAACACCAAACAAGCAGCCAAGATCACCCAATAGAGACCAGGCCATAAACATCTAAATCAACAAAGGACCAGGCATTACTGCCTAACCGTCCGACCTCGCACACCTCATATCACTACATTAAGTAAACAAGGCCTTCAAGTTGAACATGAAGAAGGAAACTAAATCCAGTCGAAAGAAATATAAAGTACTAAACGAGAGAAAGGAAGAATGAGAAAATGGTGAGATTCAGTATATAGCGATTAAGATGAGGATAATGTGTGTGGGGACACGTGCGCCACTGACATCGACTCCGATGTCCGATTCCCTCCACCTCCGTCACCCTTTGGTAGCCTGGACCTACTTCGACTTACATTGTATGACGAGTTAGACGGCGACTAGGCCATGCGTAACACATGTCCCAGCCAACCATCTCAGTCCATGAAGGTTCACAACCGTGTCAACTGACTTACCTGACTTCTGCGTTACTCAGGTGGTGACACCACGGAATGCGGCCTAAACACTACGAAGGCAATTGTGGTCAAACACCTCAGGCCTTATCATGTCTTCCACCCCCAATGTTCATGTTTCACAGCCACACAATAGAAGAGAGCGGACTGTTGTGCAGTACACGCGACACTTAATAGACAGTCGGATATGGTAGCGACGCCGCAGGTGGACTGAGTTGGCAAAAGTCAGTCGAGCCTTTTGTCTTCGTACAAAGATTCCATCGGGCACTGAACCACTAAGGCCGATCCTACCTCCCAGGTAAGTGAAGTGGTCGACACACTCAACCACCACACTCACTCTCTATTGTTAGCCGAGGCACCGTTGAACACCGATCCTGGAGCAACAACTTGCATTTCGGTGGTCTGTGCTTATCACAAGAGGACTTTCTTAACGACTGGAACAATCAGTGATTTGGACCAGTCAGAGGGGATCGTATTTGATCTCCATAAACTAGTTAACACTTCCATTGACCTGAGCACCTTATCACCATCCTTGTATACCTCAGGAGTTGGTCCGTCTGGTCCTGCTGCCCCTCCTCGTTGCAAGTCGCCTACAGCTTTCTCGACTACTGCAAGTATTGGGGGCCTATCTCAATATTTCATTCAGGATGCGACTGGATAGCGGGCAACGTAATGATGCATGGAGGTCAGTTGAACTGTCCCTTGAAGTGTTCTGCTCATCGTTTCAGTCGTTTCCCCTGTGAGTGAATCGCAGACCCGTCCTTCTCCGTTATAGTCTCACTAAGCTTTTAGACCAACAGTCAGGGACTTCATGGACTGGTGCCATGTCTTGGCCTGGCCATTCTGAAACCTCTTTCATCATAATCCAACTCCTCCTAACATGACATTTCGAGATAGGCAGTGAAGTCAGCATGCCTATCTTACCTGGTATCCTTCACTTGACCTCAACATTATTCACATACATGATAATTCCATTAAACGTGAGCAATGCCAACTCTAACCGCTTCATGTCGTCTACTTTTAACAACCACGTCTTACAATAGTTCAACAGAACGCAATACACCGTAGTATACCTCATCCTTTGATAGATAGGTTCGTACACCTTTACACAATTAGACACTTTTTTTATGTGGTGTATGCGTAAACCAGTTTCACTAAACAAGAAAATGTGCATAACATTCTCTACTTACTTTGAAATTTCAACTTACTTATACGTGTTGGTAATAAGCGTGACTTTCTTTTCTGTTTAGTTACAAGTTTTACTTCATCTAGAATATGTGTGCCTATCAAGCCTAGAAAACAATAGAAAGAAAGATTAATTTGAAACGGGAAATGATCACATCATTTGTTGAAATGTCAAATAATTAAGTCATAGTTTATGAAAGGGTAAGAAGGTTTATTATTTTTCCCTTGGGTTCCTAGTGGAACATAGAGCTTCCAGTAGCACGTCTCCATTCCACTCTCTTCTCTGAAGTCTTTTAGACCTGGCGCCACGACTGCTCACAACCTTTCATTTTTTCCTCACATGATCTCCTCTATCTCACCCTTAGCTGGAACGCCCAACTCGTCGTTTCCCATTGGATTCCACTCAACGGCCTGGCCTGGTGCATGATGTCCCCAGTTGGTCTCCTCAGTGTATGCCCAATCCATCTCCACTTCCTTTTGCATATCTGTTAGGTGATAGGTTCCTGGTTGGTTCGTTGCCAGCCACAGTTACTTGTTGCTTATTCTTTCTGGCCATCTGATCTCTATCTTCAGTACCGAGTGAGCGTAAGCGGCAGCTGTTGATGAATTTCTGTAGTTTGTTGGAAGTGCTTTTCGTGACACGCCAAGTTTCTGAACCATATAGAAGCACTGACTTGACTGAATCGATGTTGAAAATCCGAATCTTCTTCTTTGCGCTAAGTGCAGTAGATCTCCACACTGATTTTCCGATCCTGGCTTTGACATCCTCGTCTGTGCCTCTGCTGCCTGTAGTTGAAACGATGCTGTCTCCTAGGTAGGTGAAAGAGACTACTTTCTTTGGGTTTCTCCTGTTGATGGTGATTGGTGCTTGTTGTTGGTTGGATATCTTCATCACCTCCGTCTTCTCTACATTCACTTGAAGTCCCGAGAAAGGTTTGGTAGTTCAAGATAATTAAAAACCACTTCATTGCTATTTATACCATCTAGATCATAATTACCTCTCTAAAATGACTACAGTTGAATAACACTGTTAGGAAACTCCTCCAACATGTATTGTTTACATCAAGTCATCAATTACCTCGACTTTAAATGCTAGACGAAGTTGGATCAAGTGAGAAAAGGGTTTAGAGTTGTCAGACGAAGACTTGATCTGGTTCGTCGTGTAGGGAGATGCAGAATACGTGGCTGGGATCCTCTAGATGACATGAATCACTAGTTGAGTGAGGGACTCTTGGTAATATAGCTGGAAATAGATGACAATAGCACAGATGTATTCACACCCTGCCACTCTGCACTAGACCAATTTAATTTGGCACTAATCCTACTAACAAATTCAAAACTATCGTTTAAAGTATGGACAGCTAGCTACCTGTTTCCTGATAGGCTCAACTAATTGTACAACCTATAGTATGAGTTCCCGGTCGATAGCTGCTACTTTGATATAGTGGTCGGGTTTGCATATCACAATGACCCAACGAGCTATGCTGATGGAACACTAGTTCCCTGGAGGTTCTGTTGGATAGTGGTAAGACAAAAAGCAGTTACCGTTGTGGTGTAAATCATTACACTGTGATGTGGGGGGGGGGTCTGAGGGCGAAGTCGTACTACTGCTAGCTGGACGGGGTGTGACAGCAGTAAGGTGTTTCCCTTGGATAACCAGCAGTGCCATGATGATGCTGCCTTCTCAGTGGAAGCGGGGTACGGGGGTTGGAAAAGGTCGGTCTCAAAAATAATACACTCAACCATGTCTCAGTCTGCCGGGTCGGCGGTGTTGGTTCATTTGTCGTCTCTTTTTCTACCATCCAACCCTAAAACCACTATACACAGAAGACTGAGTGTAACAGGCCTCAAGTGGATGTCCAACGGGAGTTCGACACGTTCAAGTATAGGAGGGGAAAAAGTATTCACATTTTGTGTTTCTTGGGAAGAGGCTTACACACTTTTCGGCAAATGCTTACCACATGATCTCATCGGAGTTTATCACTATAAAAATGATAAGTAACAGATGTTATGCCGCTTCTGACTCACACTTGTTATGTGAGAGTTTATCATAATGACCAGTTGTCCAGGCCAGAGGAGGTGGGGGACAGGTTGCGAACCTGGGAACCTAGTGATTGAAAGTTGAGTTCCTAAGACAATCAGCCACATCTCAGTGTGAAGACAAAGATCACCATGAATTCGGCAGAAAGCAAATTCACAATTAATCTGACTAAACGGGTACATCAGTCCGGGGTATACAGATATACACAAAATCTTACACAATCAACAATGTTATGAGGCTATGTAGCCAAGTGTTAGGTAGTTCTCATCATATTTGTTATATTGTGACCGCACCAAGTTATACAGTTCATATTATGTAAGCTACACGAAGCTTTCTGTATCCCAATATACCGGCAATCTAATGAAAGACAGGAAGAACCAACGTAGAACTTTATGCACAAGTGCATCACTACACCAAGTTACCACATTTCAAAGTAGTACACAAATAACAGGTAGATAGAAAAAGATTGATATCAACGTAGACGAAGTTACACCGCAGTAGAGACAAACCTTAGAGCAAATATTTAAGCTTCATTTTGACCGGCTTTTAACTACACCAACAAGACTTCTCAACCACTGATTCCTGTCATTTTGGGAATGACAATCAAGCAGTCTACATCTCCTTACACAGCTCAAACCTAGAAACAGATACTTTATCGACTAGTATCACATCTTCATAAAAATGTAACACTTAGCAACCGCATACCCGTTCATTCAGTAGACTGGATTACACCAACTGTACGGTGATACCGTTTCTGAGGTACCAAAAAGGAGTGAGTAACAGCCGTACATATTAACCATAGGACAATACGTCAAATGACTACCACATCAGGTTTAAAAAATTTTTTACTTACTTTCTAAAGCTTCACGTTTTATTCCATTAGACCTACAAAGATAATTTTTAAGAAGAAAAAAGTTAACAATAACACCAAGTAAATCAATAGTTTGTACAATCTAGAAGCGTAGGAAACTTAAATTGAGTCAAAACATTTCACTAAGAGGCCTCCAACTACTTATTCCTATCGTCTTGAGGATCCTAACCAAGAAGTCTAAATCTCCGAACACGGCTCCGACCAAGAGTCAGAGACTTCATGGACTGGTGACACGTCTTGATCTGGTTACCCTGAACCGTTTTCCATCCTAATCCAACTTTCCATAGCATGGTACGTCGAAGTATCTGGTTATTTAGCATGTGCAACACATATACAAACCATCTCAGTCAACTAATGTTCACAACCTCATCAATCAACTTGCCCATCTTGCGTAGTACTCCTGATCTAACCTCTACATAGTTCACACGGTGGTTCTACCAAACGTGAGCAAATGCTAAGAAGACATCGGTGATCAAAACCCTGTAATCGTTTAGTGTCTTCTACTGTTAACGTCCATGTTTCACAACCGTATTACAGGGCAGAATAGACTGCAACACAGTATATTCATCCTCTAATAGATAGTCGGGTATTTTGCCAGTCAGTGTCACAGATGGTGCAAGTTGACAAATGCCAAACGAGCTTTCTGTATACGAGCTGAGATTTCGTCAGCAACTAACACGTTCGGGTTGACGCAACTCTCCAAGTAAGTGAAGTGGCTGAAACATTTCACCACTTTACTGTCTATCTTTCAGCTGAGAGTAGTTGCAGAACAGTGTCCTGGAGCATAATCTTATATTTGACAGGTGCCAGAGAAGCGCATACCAAACATACGCAGACTTCTGTTTAACGCATTCACAAGACATTGCACCTAGCAGGACAATACGATCTGGATACTCCAAGCCAGCTGGATGACTGCCAAAAAGTAGGTCGATTCCTGTGAAGTCCGACGTACCTAAGGCTATGTCCAGTACTACGTCTATAACAAAGTTGAACAGGAACGATGACTGAGGGTATCCCTGTAAGACACTACTAGTTGTCGTCAATTCACATGACAACTCTCCATAATCCTTTACAAGCCCCAGTAGACAGCTTTTACCAGCATATGCTTGCTTGGTACCCCTTCACAGCCAGACACACCACAACAGTCGCCAGCCTTTGCTACAAAGCCAATAATGGTTGAACATATCAAACCGTATCATATCAGTAGCTATGTCTCATAGTTGAGCGTGTTGACCACTTCACTTACCTGGGAAGTAGGATCAGCCCTGGTGGGTTAGTTGCCGATGAGATTTCTGCACGGATACAAAAGGCTCGATTGGCTTTTGCCAATTTGCGCCACCTATGGCGCCGCCGTGATATTCGTTTGTTTATTAAGGGTCGCGTGTACTGCACAGCAGTCCGCTCTGTTCTACTGTATGGCTGTGAAATATGGCCATTGAAAGTGGAGGATACAAAAAGCCTTGAGGTGTTTGACCACCATTGCCTTCGTAGTATAGGACGTATTCCGTGGTGTCACCATGTGAGTAATGCAGAAGTTAGGTGTAGAGTTTTAGGGAGAAGAGGTAAGTCAGTTGACGAGGTTGTGAACCTTCATCGATTGAGATGGTTGGGATACATACTACGTATGCCCAGTCACCGATTGCCTCGTCATACAATGTTGGGTGAAGTAGGCCCAGGCTAGAGAAAGGCCCGAGGTGGCCAGACTAAAACATGACATCAATGTATGAAGTCTCTGACTGTTGGTTTGAGCCATGTGGGACGATGTAGACTAGGTGGTTGGGGTCGGCGGGGCAAGAGGAACCAGTGGTTGGAGACTGTAGGTGATCACATGGCTGAGAACCGAAGTCAGTGGTGCAGATGTATACACACATTATCCTCATCTTAACAACGCTATGCCGAATCTCACCATTTTATCACTCCTCTTTCCTTTCTTCTCGTACTTTGTATTTTTTTGACTGCATTCACTTATCTTCATCCTTCGCCTCACTACCTTTTTACTTGATGTGCTGATATGAGGTGTGGCAACTCGGACCGTTACGCAGTAATGCCTGGTCCTATGTTGATAATGATGATGATGATGTCTCATAGTCATAGAGTTAAAACAGTGAATTCCTGCACAGTACACAGCCCTTAATAGACAATAAGGCCTGAAATTTCAGGCACCATATTCACCAAAAAACTAATTTCCCGGGGGTTGTTACGAGGATTTTTCTCCAGTCAGTTACTTAAAGCAGTCAGATTGGATTATATCCGGCTATTATACGCTGGCTAACACTTCAGCTAATCTAACCTACAATCCGCAGTGACCAGTCTTAAGTACCACTGGTACTAGCCCACAGATGCCTGATCCCTTTCTTCCCTCCACGTTACTTACAGCCTCCTCAACTTCTGCAAAAGTTGGAGGCCGTATTTCAGTGTTCTACATAGGATGTAAAAAGATAGCGGACAAACGAAGAGTGGATGGGGGCTGGCTAAACTACTCTCTGAAGTGTTCCATTTATTGTTTAAGTCGCTTACCCTACGATTGAACCGTCAACCCTCACTTTCATTGCACAGACATTTCGCAATGTTCGAGATATTCTCGCCGGCGACTGTGTTGAGAATCTGCAAAAATGCAACAATTAATTCAAAAGCTGCCAAGATCTACTTGCTTTTTCTAACCTTTCCTTAAAGGTCACTTACGGTCGTCAAAATGTCATCACAGAAGACTGAAAATGGTACCAGGCTTCTTCAGGATAAATGGTTCAAAATCATTTCGATAACTGCTAAACGAGTTCCTTACTAGAGTGAGCACACGCGTGAGCACAGACTACAAAGATACAATGGCGTGTTTTACTCAGCTGTTTAGCGATTACTGTACCATTTGATTGAACAGCGTACAGATGTCTACACCAAGTGATATCCAGTCAAAGTATCTTAAGTTATAACTGTATCAATAAGACCGCCGGAACTAATCACCATATCTTCGCATTTTTACCATACTGGTGAGGTGAGATTAACTGAATAACTACGTTTGGACCCTAATTTATGTCTCACAAAAACAACAAGTATCCATCATAAGATACCAAGGTTTGAGCTAGCAAAGGTTATTGTCTGAACTGACAAAAAGTGTGAACATTGAAAACTCTGATACGTAGTTTAGAGAGCAGGAATGTCAATATCACTAGTTTCAGGACTGGAAAACATAGATGACGCTGGACCGATAATAGAGATGTGGAAAAAGGTTCAAAAAGAATGATTGAAAAGGTTGATGGCATTCAGGATGGATCTGAATCCTGGCAATAAAAAAAATAGTCTTAACAACTTATATGTGGGGGATATGTAGCCCAAATGACATCTGCTCAAGGTCAGTTACGTGCAACTTTTTGAGTTGTTTTTAGTGGGGAATTCACTTTCCGTTCAAGCTACAAAAATCTATACCGCTGGCACAAGAAGTTTGCAGCGTACAAAGAATTGTGCTATTTTTAGGGTCAACGGTTGACACTTAATAAACCAAGGCAGTATAGCATGAAGTGCTGATTATCCAAAAGAAACAACTTTCTGTTTTCATACACCGTACATTCAACATTATGACTTCATCCTCAAACCTCTACCATAGCATAAGGTTGCCTCTTGATAGTTACTACCTGTAGTTTCATAAGTACTCAATAGACCTTCGAGATAAGGCAAAAAATCAAGGAAGAATCCTTTCAACCAGTATAACTCGTTGAGTCATTGCATGAGCAGACTCAACCACAACGTGAAAAAAGTAGCCATCAGTCGGGTGGGGAAGTGTTAGATACAGATGTATCGAGTTAAATACTTCACAGATCAAGTATTACGGAAACTCTCACCTACTTTAATTGTGGTGGAAAAATAATACATCTACTTCCTTTTAATGCAGTACCGTCTTGATTTTCAGTGGGTAATCAGCTCAAATACATTGGAATAGTTTTGATGTGAGTTCAACATGATAGTAATTAACTATAAATAACAAATCGCCTAGGTAAGACTTTACATCAACCTCCATAGAGAACTCACATTTTAAATGATCACGTAGTATACTGTGTTTACATATGAATAACTCGATACTATCAGAAAGCAATTTTACATTGACCTTACTAACACGCTAACTACACCAAGAAAGTTGTCTTTAAATGTTGATCAGAGACAGTAACTGACACCAAAACAAACTGGAAAATTAAGCAATGAGATAGAAACGTCTGGTGAGTAATAAGGATTAACCGATTGTATAGTTTGGAACTATGTTATTCCTGAAGAAACACATTTGTTGTTGTTGAAGTCTCTGACTGTTGGTTTGAGACATGTGGAACGATGCAGACTAGGTGATTGGGGTCGGCGGGACAAGAGGAACCAGTGGTTGGAGACTCTAGATGATCACATGGCTGAGAACCGATGTCAGTGGCGCAGATGTATCCCCACACACAATATCCTCATCTTAACAACGCTATACCGATTCTCACCATTTTCTCATTCTTCCTTTCTCTCTTTCAGTAAATTATATTTCTTTTGACTGTATTCTCTTATCTTCATCCTTTACCTCACCACCTTTCTACTTGATGTACTGATATCAGGCGTGGCAACTCGGAGTGTTACGCAATAATGCCTGGTCCTATGTTGATATTGTTTGGCTGATTGATTTGTAAAGCAAACACTGATAAACTGTGTATATTCCCCTAGGAAAAGGTTAGGAAATAACTACGTCAACAGCTTTATACAAACGGAAAAGAAACTTATCCCAACTGGATGTAGGTATCAGCAATGGTGAAAGTGGTCACGTAAATCAACAGTTCACTCGCAAAGGATGGGGAGAACAAACTAGAACAATCAATCAATATCAACATAGGACCAGGCATTACTGTGTAACACTCCGAGTTGCCACACCTCATATCAGCACATCAAGTAAAAAGGTAGTGAGGCGAAGGATGAAGATAAGTGAATGCAGTCAAAAAAAATACAAAGTACGAGAAGAAAGGAAAGAGGAGTGATAAAATGGTGAGATTCGGCATAGCGTTGTTAAGATGAGGATAATGTGTGTATACATCTGCACCACTGACTTCGGTTCTCAGCCATGTGATCACCTACAGTCTCCAACCACTGGTTCCTCTTGCCCCGCCGACCCCAACCACCTAGTCTACATCGTCCCACATGGCTCAAACCAACAGTCAGAGACTTCATACATTGATGTCATGTTTTAGTCTGGCCACCTCGGGCCTTTCTCTAGCCTGGGCCTACTTCACCCAACATTGTATGACGAGGCAATCGGTGACTGGGCATACGTAGTATGTATCCCAACCATCTCAATCGATGAAGGTTCACAACCTCGTCAACTGACTTACCTCTTCTCCCTAAAACTCTACACCTAACTTCTGCATTACTCACATGGTGACACCACGGAATACGTCCTATACTACGAAGGCAATGGTGGTCAAACACCTCAAGGCTTTTTGTATCCTCCACTTTCAATGGCCATATTTCACAGCCATACAGTAGAACAGAGCGGACTGCTGTGCAGTACACGCGACCCTTAATAAACAAACGAATATCACGGCGGCGCCATAGGTGGCGCAAATTGGCAAAAGCCAATCGAGCCTTTTGTATCCGTGCAGAAATCTCATCGGCAACTAACCCACCAGGGCTGATCCTACTTCCCAGGTAAGTCAAGTGGTCGACACACTCAACCACTACACTCACTCTCTATTGTTAGCCACGGCACCGCTGAAGATCAGTTCTGGAGCAACAGTTTGCATTTGTGTGGTGAGAAACGCATCCCAATAGTTTATGAGCGATTCATTCACGTGATGAAGCAGTGAGAATACTTTAAAGGTGAACCACGGACACATCACTCATCTGTACGGAGGCTGGTATCAGCAACGCTTTTCGGAGGCCTATAATAAGGGTAATACAGTGAGAACAATTCAACCACATTACTGTCTAGACCTCGCCTACTACCAGACTAGTATCAATAAAAGTACACATAATAAGTAAGAAGTTAGACATACCGAACTAAATCATCAGTTTGACCCAATTTAGGTGAACATGGCTTGGTAGTGTCAGTTTCATCCGTTTCAGTTAGCAAGCGTAAAGTACTCAGATATTTCTCTTCTTCTCAGCTGGCCATTCAACTTCAGCTGTAGCACCATCAGTGCTAGTGTCATCAGATGGTGATGACCAGTATCTATTGTCAGACAAAGCGACAACTGGTGGTGCGGTTTTAGTGTCCACTACATCATCAGTTCTATCATTGCTCGAGTTCGATGATTCAATGAATGGATTACGATAGGTTGCTACAACTTTACCATTACTAGCGTAAAGAAAGCGAATATGAGGTGCAGATTCATTGATGATGCATCCAAGTTTATCATTTCCCAAACCTTCAGCGTGTAAAAGTTGACTAGGAGCACTACGTGTAAGTCCAAAACGTGTAATTGGGAAACCAGATCCTGAAGCATTCATACTTCCAATTTCATTAGGTGAATGACAATTGATTGTAGTCATATTTGCAAAATTCCATGGATTTCGTTTAATAGCATCCAATAGTGAAGCTCTTTCACGAGGTTCAACCGTCCAGAAAGCACCCCGACCTGGACCCTAATTTAGGAAAAGAAAACACTTAGTAGATGTGTTTGTGTTCAAGAAGATAAAAAAGAATACAGCAGTGAATAGCGTGGCAGCAGTACAACAACAAGCTTACATTTACTACAATACAACAAGAAATAAATTGGTGCGCCTTAAAGACAGTAGTGATACATAGGTGCATTTGAGGTGCATATGACAATCTTTATCACCTCATCATCATCATCATCAAGATCTTCATGCTCTTGTCTTTGAGAGCATAACGCGTCGAGGTTACGATACTTCATTATGATATGAGATTCATTCTGCATAAAGAAAAAAACAAGCTTATAACTAGAAATGTTAATTAAGTAATGAAGTCCAATATAAAAACATAGAATAAAAGAACTTACACGACTGTCACGAGGTAAACGTTTGAAAGACTTATTAATAGAAAGATTATGTCGAAGTGAATTTTTCCATCCAGCACCAGCATGTTTATAAAATGGGAAATTTGATTCACACCAATTGTATATTTGATTAACAGTCATACACTTTTGAGGTGTAGATTCTATAGCCATAAATATAAGATGTGTATAACTATAGTTCGGTTTCGTTAAACCATGACCAGTAACAGAAGAATCAGGTTGATATCGTGAAGATTCAATGTAAGAGAACTGGTTCCCAGACACTGAAGCAGGATGATGATTACCTCTACTCATGATTGAAAATTGCGATCCAATAGTAGAAGGTAAGTGATTAGTAGGAAGTTCCTGAGATACAACACTTATTCCCGAACAAGGACCAAAAGTATCTTCACTGTCATGATTCTCAAGTATTGTAGAGCTAACAGAATCACTACCATCTTCTTCACCATCTAGTGGAGCTATTTGTAAAATATCACCTTTTTGAAGCCATGCCAATGATACCAAATCACTAGTTGATACTAAATCATTGTAGTGTTTCGTCGACCATGATTCCGGTAATATCTTATTCCCTTCACAATCATTATTTTTCACGGTCATATTAGTATTAAGTGGAGTTAAAGTAGATGTATTTGGATGAGAGTATAAAGCATATGAATGCAATTTATCCATACAAAAATAGAAGCGCCTGAAAAGAAAATACACATAACCATTGTGAGCCAATTAGGAGTGAAAATTAACCTAACATGAACAATAACAATTCAATGGTGTCATTATGAAATCGTAACCAACATACCTAGGGGAAAATCAATCCCAACAATACACTACATCATTGTTAGGCTTAAAAGACACGAAAGCGTCATTAACAACGGCTCCGCCAAACGACTTCCGGTGAGCGAATGCAGAAAAAGACAATTCAAACTTCAGGTTGCAAAGATGGCTAACTATTTTTCTTGGATTCTTTATTATTATGAGACAATTTTGCAAGCAATCACTACAATTCTTATCCTAGTCCCAGGAGATCTTAGTTAACGACATTACCAACTGTTATAAATCAATTTAATTCCCAGTGTTTAAGATACCTGTCCAATATCCAATATATTTTAACTAGCTCAAGTGGTTGAAATAGTTCAACTGGTTATTGGTAGAGTAGGAGAAGCTTTCGCTCAACTGATTCGTGCGTTCAGAATCGAGGATCACTAGTTCCTGAGGTTGTTAACCTGTGTACAACTCAAGAGAGCAAAACGTGGTAGTTAAAACTTAGAAATTCAGTTTTATTCTCAGCAGGTCACACCCACACCCCAAGTATCAATCCGGAATCTCAATGGTTCAGGCCAAGTGGCCTGAATCACTTCTGTAGGAAGAGGATTCCAGGGTCTGATAACTCTTAGGGAATAGAAGTTGTGTACAATATCCAACCTGTCATGTTCTAGGCATAGTTTCCGTATGCATCCTCTAAGACTGGTGCCACAACTAAGATTCAGTAGGTGACGAAGTATTCAAGATGTTGTGCGCAATTATCAGGTCTCCTCCTAGTCCTGTATACTCTTCGGGATACAGATAAAACACAGCCAGTCCTTCTCCTCATGTTTAAGACACAAGTCCTTGAGCAGATCCGGTCGATCGCCTCTCGAAGCTCGCTTCTACGCCTTGTGAAAAGAGTTCAGGTCTTCGGTGTATTTCAGTGCACCAGGTCTACCGGCTGGCCTGCCACGGCTGTGATTAGCCCGATGTGTGGTCAGATATTGATATAATTTGAATGGGTGGTATGATCTAACGACGGAGTGTGGTGCAGATGGTTTCCTCTTATGCCATTTCACCAGAGAACTACCTGAGATGGTTCTGAAAAGAAGATAGGGGGGATGAAGATATGTCCGACGAAAAAATGGAAAGAAAGGGCGATGAGGCAAAGTTAAAGGACGTGGGACGAAAAGAGAGGCGAGTCCTAGTTAGGATGATGAAGGCTATCAGGAGAACACTAGTAAGTAGGGAGAGATCACAGAGCAAGGAGTCAGACTGGGGCAGGTAAGCGAATGGAGGGATTATAGGAATGGAAATACTAATGTTATTGGTGAGTATGGTAGATGGAAATGAGACGTCTAAAAGGGAGGTATAAAGGTGACTCAATTTCACCATGAAAGTGACATTATTAAAGACCTGATGCCGGGTTGACTGTGCTAGAATTTGTAGAACCAGCTGGTGATTTTGACGTAGCCCATAGCCCAGCTAACTGAGCGCAAGCCGTGCATCACTGAGTAGCAATCCAATCCAAACTTTCTTGAAGCTGCCCACAGGTGAATCAGTAACAGTTCCCACTGGCAATGCCTTTCGGCACCCGAAAACTAGCAGAGCGAAAAAGTATGAACATGCATGGGTTTTCGCCCACTGATGAGTGATTTTCCTTGAGTTACCATGAGGATTGCCACAGTAGCCACCCAGTAGGATTCCACCTTCCGGGTGACTTGGATTACTTGGTGTTTTGCGGGTCATTAGCGAGTTGTCACATAACCTATGGTGACTAAGAGAGTAAAGTCCTAAGTCCTTCGGGCTGTTACTCAGCGTTCTAGCCACATTCCCACAACACCTTTTCGCCTATCGTCTCCCGACTTTCTGCAGGTTATTCATATCCCCTTTCAGGCCTGGTGATGCAGTTAAGCGGACCTGTAAGTAAAGTCGAACGTAGGTCTTGCACAGGTTCGAAGACACTTCAGGAGTGAGGACTCTTGATGTTCTGTGCATGGAGTGCAGCACTGTGTAGGCCCTGGAGGCATCTCCTGGACAATTGGAGCTTACGTTTAGCCCGTCAATCGGTATGAATCCCACGTCTTTTTCCTTGGTGGTGTGAGAGAGCTACGTACCACAAAGACAGTAGCAAACTTTTCGCATAGCAGGAGGATCCGTTAGAGCAGCTTCTGAGTTTGAGCTGGTGTGGTTGGTCCCATAGCTCTCCGTCGCCCGGTCGTTTTTGGAATACTCACAAGTGTTATTTTTCGTGAGGCATCGCTGATTCTCTCGTCGTTTAGGGCTCTCACCCATGGTAGTGAGTTGAGCTGGCATCGGCACTTCAGTCACCACCGGAGTGTCTTTTACAGCCTCCCTAAACAAGCCAACAGGCAGGAGTGGCCTTACACATCACTGTGAGCAGACAAACCAGGACCACGTGCACGGTAACGCACCACAAAGGCGTCATATTTGTCTGATACGTCTTTTTCATATCTACGCTGTACCCACTTGTCGCATACGTCGCATTCAAAAGCTGCATCTTTTTTGGCAATCGCAAGACTATATATGTGGCAATCAGCTCCATGGCCAGAGGGTTTTATCGGAAAGTTTCTGCAGGCGGGCTAGGGTTGGAGATGAGTGTGCCGGTAAGACACGCTCTTCGCCAAACGAGGACAGATGAGTCCTGAGTCTAGTATGGGACAGTGGCTCGGCTTTTTCCTGGAATTACTATTTGTAACTGTTCGACTGATGCCAACCTGTGATCCTTTAAGGTGGTTTGCAGCTCCTGCCCCGAACCCGGTTACTACCAAGGAGAGGGTGGTCAGGAACGGAGGTGAGGTTTCATTAGAGATGTTCCTATCGCTAGACCCCGCCAAATCACTGTTGCTGTCCGTTTTGATAAGTAAGTATGAAAGAAGCAAAAACAAAATGCCTAATTCAACTAAAGAGTAGGGAGTCAATGACAGATGAAGCTCTCAAAATCGCCCTTGGTTTTGTACGACTAAGAAGAATGCCAAAAGATTCCCACAGTTTCAAGATACATGATCAAGTTAGATAAACAATGTTGCAGATACAGCGGCCTGAGTTATATCAGATGACGGAAACAGCCGGACTTACCACACAGCTGTCCTTACTAGGAGTAGTAGCAAGGACCGTTTGAGGATTGTATGCTCCGCAGACAATCTTTTGCAAAGCTGTTAGTTTTAGAGATAGATCTCGGATGAGCGCATATATTGGTTACTTCTAGGAAGAACGGAGACGGGGTTAAACATCATTATTTAGAGAGGACCACGACAACCGATAACGGATTATCGATCAATGTTTGGTGAGATTCTTCATCACAGTGTCCCAGATGTGTGCTGAACCTCCTCAGGAAAGCACAAGGGAAATTATTGATTTCTTTGGAAAGATGATCAGGTTCCAGGAATGAGGATAGCGGGCCGCTGAAGTAGATTATTATTTACTTACTGCATTACTTCAGATCTGGTCTTGCTTCGAATGTATCAGCAGGAGGTGCAGGTGACATGTCCTCCAATAGAGTTCCGGCGGCTCACAACTCTGTATGGGAAGTGTGCTTGCATATAAAGACAATTTTCCCACTTTTTCTGGGACGGACAGTTCTATGGAACAATGATCATTATTCGGTATAAGATACATTATAGTGGGATTACATCTCAGCATAATGTACGACAGTAGACAACGTTCTAGTTGATCCAGTCTTTCCCTGTCAAAGCGGTTGAAAAGCCTTCGACTGTACGGGTTTCCAACCCTGTAGATATGCTGTAATATATCAGCTCATGTTTGGAGCATGGGCTCGCCATTGAAACGTGTCCTGCATAAGATATAAAACACCTCATCATGACCCTAAAACTCCTTTCTTAAGGACCACAAGATTTACCGAAACACCCCAGCTGGCATTTTAGGCTAATGGCCAACTACGAAACATAAATCATCGTATTCAGGTACTTAAGTTGACAGCGCGTTGTTGATCAAGTAGTCATATGGATCGTCGTAGCCTGTTCGCATAGCTGCACTCTTGGTGATAATAATTTCTCGACACCATGCCGCTGATCAATCTACCGGAACGCTAAGATGTACAGTACAAACGCACTCTCGTGATCGTGAACAAGTATCCGTAATTTAACTTCGTTCTCGAACATCCAAAAGAAACATTTAGTTGTTTTGGGCAACTCGTTCACGTTGAGTTGAAAAGGAAGTGAACTTAAAATCGTATACTAAGGAGCTATACTCTCTGCTTGTCGCCACGAAGACAAAGCTCATTTTACACTCATAGTTACCAAGGCGGAAGAAAAAAAGCCACGGGCTAACCACTTCAAAGCACTCTTGAATCGACCACCACCATCGCCTGCAACTCCTCCAGAAATGCCACCAGTAGCCCAACCACATGACTACCAGTGAAGACAAACCCTCCGACAAAAGCAGAAGTCCCGAATGCCATAAAACTGCTGAAATTCAGGAAAGCAGAAGGACCAGGTGGAATTCCTCCAAAAGCACAGAAAATGGAAGCAGAGACAACAGAGGACACGCTCACACCACTACTACAGAAGGTTTGTAAGCAGGGAAGGAAAGGCATCTGCAGATTGGAAGAAGGGCTACCTTGTCAAACTTCCAAAGAAGAGTGACCTAAGCCTTCGCAAGAACTGGCGAGGAATCATGTTCCTATACACACCAAGCAAAATATCAAGTTGCATCACCCTGTAGAGACTACAAGACCCACCGGATTCAAAATTACGACAGGAAAAAGTTGACGTCAATAAAAACAAGTCATCTGCGGATCAAACTGCAACGCTACTTCAACTTCCTCGAATTTAAAAAGGCATTCGACAGCCTCGAACGAGAAGTATTTCGCCAGCAGCTGCTTCAACGCCACGGTTTTAGCTCCACTAGCCTTTATCAACCTCATTCAACAGCAGCTATATGAAGACGCC